TAATATTTAATAGAATTAGTATATGTCTAACAAGTTATTTTAGATGTCTAGTCTTACAAAAAACTTCACACGTGGTTAATATTTCTAAGTTTTCCTCCAATAATTATAATAGTCACCTGGGAAATTATTCTTAATTTCTTATATTTACTTCTACTTCCAGTTCCACTGTTTTGTACTATAGAGACTTTGCCAAACTTGTAGACTGGAAGAGAGTGAATAATTTAGATATTTAAGTTCGGAAGTAAGTAAGTAAGTAATGAAAATGACGGAGCCACCACTGTGTTGAATGGTTGTTTGGCAAGGGTTGGGGTCTTATATAATACAAGACTAAGAATTGGTATACTTTATAGAACTTGAAGGTATTAGGTATCATAACGTAAAATTCCAAAGAAATTTGGACAAAATATCTTATTTCCTCACAGTTTTTAACGTCTTCTTATCGGACCATTCAGCTATATGAGAAGAGATTGAGAAACATCTTTCATTCAAATACCTACCGGAATCTGATTATTTAGTTAGGAAACTGTTGTGGTCAGGTTTCTATTGTATAAAGGTAATAAAGACTATATGTCAAAGTATTCAGAGTTAAGAATTTAATGATGTAGAAAATGTAATTATTATTTTAGGCTGGCTTCCACCAACTTGTTGTAGTCCAGGTGTTGTATTGTTACTAAATTAACTTCATCTATATGTTACATTGTCTACCTTTCCTACATCCAGGTATTGACCTAGTACAGATGAGCCTTAACCCATAGTTTTAGAGAATACTATAGCAGAATACAAATAGGGGGCTCAATGAAGGGACAACTTTTGGGGCTGAATTCAAAATTTGGCTACTGTGTAACAGTGTAACAGTCGCGAGTCTTCCATGGAGCGTCTGAGAGGGCTCTCTTAAGAAAATCTTTAAAAAAATGAGTTGATTTGGTTTCTAACATATATTTTGTGGCAAAAACGTATAAAATGAGTTTTTTAGATTTGTTAAAAATAAAGTGGGGGTACAATTGGGGGGCAAACAAACACTTTTGGGGCAAATGCCCACCTCCACCCTTCCCTGTATCCCCACTGGCGCTTTGACAGTACAATAGCAATAGCTTTGACCAAACCTAACCTATAGTTTTAGAGAATACAATAGCGATTCTTTTTTGTGTAATGACTCTTAGTGTTGGCCAAAATGTGAAGAAATTATTACTATAGTAAACACGTCAACAATTTTGAAATATTTGACATTTAAGCATTTCTTAACATCCCAGGAATAAAGACAAAGGTTTTCTATTAAAAATAGATGTTGCGGTCCTCGATCGTTCAAGTTGGAAGGCGTAAGATATTACCACTAACAGATAAATGATAAAAAAAACTCATTTGATTTAATTTTATTCGGTGTTCATATGAAGGGTTCTGTCACTACCTTATCCGTATTGAATAAAATTGGTGAATGACGTATACTAGTTGAAGAATGAATCCAGGAACACCCTTTAAAATAAGTGTTAACATAATGTTTAGGGTAAATACAATAATATTTATTTGGTTGAGAGTATTGTTCAATCTGTCTCAAGATGAACGACAAACATGCTCCCTAACATTTTACATAATTATAATAATTGTAAGTTAGGTGTGATTCAATAATTATATAAACTATGATTAACTATAATTGTTATGATTGTTGAGGGTTTATGGACATGAAAAACATTCCATTGTAGAATTGGTGAAAGTAAAGTAGTGCACGCCCTCGTTATAGCCAAATTATCATCTCAGTTTAAGTCATGTATAAAATGCCATTTGGGTGTATTTGATAACGGCGCAAAGCTGAAAATAATGTAAGAATATGAAAATATAAGATTTCCCTCTGAAGTGTGTAAAATATAATGATTAAAAGACATTAATGGAAATTAATTTTCAGTTTTGTTCCCTGTGTCTTTTGAACCTACGTACAATTTTCTGATATTAAAAATGTTACTGATGTAAAGGAAATAATTATCTCCACAATTTAATTATTACCAGCTTAATGCCCGTAGCAATTCTTTTAAAACATTTCCAAATTGACTGAAAGGGTCAAACTTCTTAGTATATAATTCTTTGTCTCCAGAAGATATATATATATATATACAGTCCCTGAGTAAAATGATAGCGATATGAACTATCTTTCCAGAAAATCCCTCGATAGTAAAATAATATAAATACAAGGGTCTCCATAGCTATCAATAATTCTGTATAATTCAATAATACACACAACTCTCATATTCTCTTATCTTCTTCACTTTATAAATATGTTTTGTGGGGTCCACATGGAATTCTATATTAAAATTAACCGTAATTATTGACACATTACTGTATTGATTCAATTTATCTTCTTTTCCAGATTAGGAATTTAAAAAAGAATGATAACAATTCAATACAAATCTTTTTCCCAATGGACCTATTTTCCATTCTGAATAGGTTTGTTGTTATAGACATTATATAATGCCAGAAATATTTTTTTTAATAAACTGGTAACTTTTAAACGCAAAATAAAATAAAAACTTTATAAGTTATCTGGTGCATTTATAAGCGATTTATATTGTTCAGGATTGTAAAGTTCCTCAAATGATCCTTTTGAATCAATTTGGAGTCATTAGAACATAAACTGTAAAAGCCCAAGGTACTTTCGACTCTTTGCGGAATACAGTTTCCTTATTTCTCCAGTGGATGCCAATAATCACGTCAAGTTATGGTCTAAGGGAGAGTAATCCATATCTACATGTCACATAAAGATCTTTGAAAAATATATGGAGGCACACCGGCATAAAATGCATATTTTTTGAAAATTAATTTCTTGTTTGACCTAATTATAGCTTGCTTAGAATTTGTGGAAAAACAGTTCGAGGTCATATCCTTGTCGTTTATCTGCTTAGGTTCCGAATCGTTTCACGTTTTCTTTGGTCGTTTCTGCTCGGTTCATGTTTTAGTAAGTACGATAGTTTGAATATTTGGAATAAATATCCATAATCTAAGGTTAGATTGGGATATATCTCGAAGTCAAATAGGGTTAGCTAAGGAAAGGGCTAGCTTAAATAGTCTAAAAAAATTAATTTCTGCTAATATTTCCTCAGTTTAGGTCCGAGTAAAATTCAAGATCCAATTCCGATGTAAAGTTAACCAATGATAAGACGTGGGGAGAAGTGACTTTTATTTGTTTTATCTATTGAGGTGTGACGAGATCTTTTTCTTGGATGCAATGAAAGGCACGGGTCTAAAGTTGACACAGAGTTAGTTGTAACGTCCAGATTTCTTATGAAGATTATTGTATAGTGACGACGTAGTGTACCCTAAATTCATAGTATAAACGACTTCAATAGCGTATTTAAGGGGTGGACCATTGTACCATGCCTCCATCATCCCACCCAGGCCTATGAAAGGTCAATCTTTGATGTGAAAATTTAGACCTTTAATGCCCAAAATTCATCCCAGGTCATCTTTGATCTCTTGGCATCCTAAAGGGGCTTAGGTTACCTGCGAGTGTTATCAGAAATAGTACCTTCCAAAGATTTTTTACGGATTTTGGCTTCAAAATTGAATTATTTGCGACTTTCAGTCGAATATCTGTACGTTATCAAGTGGATAAAATTTATTAAAGCATGGAAGTTAATATAACACTAGGATCATAATGCCACGGTGGAAATTTTTTAAATGCATGGTAATCAACATTACACTAGGATAATATTGTCAGGTTGAAAATTTATTAAAGCATGGTAGTTAATACAACACTAGGATTATAATGCCGTGATGTAAAAGTTATTAAATGCATGGTAATCAACATAACACTAGGATAATATTGTCAGATTGAAAATTCATTAAAGCATGGTAGTTAATGTAACACTAGGATTATAATGCCGTGATGTAAAAGTTATTTAATGCATGGTAATCAACATAACACTAGGATAATATTGTCAGATTGAAAATTCATTAATGCATGGTAGTTAATATAACACTGGGATAATATTGTCAGATTGAAAATTCATTAAAGCATGATAGTTAATTTAACACTAGGATAATATTGTCAGATTGAAAATTCATTAATGCATGGTAGTTAATATAACACTAGGATCATATTGTCAGATGGAAAATTCATTAAAGCATGATAGTTAATATAACACTAGGATTATAATGCCGTGATGTAAAAGTTATTAAATGCATGGTAATCAACATAACACTGGGATAATATTGTCAGATTGAAAATTCATTAAAGCATGGTAGTTAATTTAACACTAGGATTATATTGTCAGATTGCAAATTCATTAAAGCATGGTAGTTAATTTAACACTAGGATAATATTGTCAGATTAATTAAAGCAGAATAGTTAATCTAACACTTTGATCATAATGCCATGGTGAAAATTTTTTAAATGCCTGGTAATCAACACTGGTAATCAATATAAAACTAGGATAATATTGTCAGATTCATTAAAGCAGAGTAGTTAATATATCACTGGGATTATAAAGCCATGATGGAAAATTTATTAAATGCATGGTATATAACACTGGGATAATATTGTCAAATATAAATGAAAATTGAAAATTCATTAAAGCATGATAGTTAATATAACACTGGGATAATATTGTCAGATTGAAAATTCATTAAAGCATGGTAGTTAATATAACGCTGGGATAATATTGTCAGATTGAAAATTCATTAAAGCATGGTAGTTAATATAACGCTGGGATAATATTGTCAGATTGAAAATTCATTAAAGCACGGAAGTTAATCTAACACTTTGATCATAATGCCATGGTGAAAATTTTTTAAATGCCTGGTAATCAACATAACACTAGGATTAATACTTTTAACCATAACACTAGGATTATATTGTCAGATTGAAAATTCATTAAAGCATGGAAATCAACATAACAATTTCATGTCAGCATAAAATTTCTATGGAACACAATGTGGGCCATATTCTAATGTTGTTTCAATGAATGTTAGAAATAATTACTCTTATGTTTAACTTATCTTTATTTGTCAGTCACTTTTTTTCTTTTAAATCATTGTTCTTTGAAGGAATTGTCATTAGTTATAATGAAACTTCTTTCCGTTTTTTTAATTTTAACAAAATTTGATGTTTAATCCTTGAATGTATGAATATAGGTTTCAACACTGTATATATAGCACTATTATTAGGTATTTTGATATAAGGAAAGTTTGGTATATCAATAAAATAAAAGAAAAACAATTATTTGACGAATAGACCAAAAAGCGAGATGAATGACTGTGTACTATTTACAATGACAAATTACAACAAAATTTGAGATAACATGTTACTTGATGAACATAAAAATTCCAACTCTCTTCAACATTTGCCTAGTACCAATGCAAGTAAAGACATTCTAACATACATTCCATTTTCTGCCTGTCTGAAATATGCTGCTCTGGGGTCTGTATCAAAACTTGAGCTGAAAAGTATATTTATTTATGGATTTAATACAAAATAATTTATGTCAAAACTAAAAATTAAAATGAAATGAATGAGTTTTATGTCCTATTTTTCTGCACTATGTGGGCTTATGAAGACAGGCACAAAATGGCAGGGAAGCCATACCTCAAACGCACTATGTTCATAGATACAACTTATTTGTATATCTAAATACAGCTTAAATGTATCTAAATACAGCTTATATGTATCTAAATACAATATCTATGTACATTTGTATCTATATGCTAATTACACTTATATATAATAAAGTATATGTACATTACCTTATTTCATCCAGTCGAGGCAGTGGATGCATTACCACCATTTTCTTTTTAGCTTTCGTCATTAACTCAGGTGTGATAACAAACTGTCCACAAGCCTTAAGTTTTCAAAGGAAAAAAAAAACAATACTTATTAAAGTCATTATCATAATGTACTCATATCATACGACCTGTATAAAGGCGTAAATATATGTACTGGTATACAGACAATTACATTGGAGATCATTTATGAACAACAAAAGATTCAAAATAGAGTAACTGTTTACAGTTTGATGCCTAAAGTCATTCTGAATTTGTCAATCATTAAATAACACTTCAAAACACTCTTACATAGATATATAACGTTATTGACTAATCATGGTCATGGGGTCTTTTGAAGTTAAAATTTCCAGATATGATATACCTTTTCATAATCTTCTTTACTAGAGAAACGTTCTCGCTGTATTCTTGTCATATATAATACATCTGTATCTAATAACGCCTTTTCTAGAGAAGAACACTCTTCCTGGAATACATTTAAACATGCTAGATTGCAGAGACAGAGCTGTAACGTTAACCTCATAGGTCGATTTTTCATTTGTCTTAAGATGTATTGTTGACAAATGAAAAAAAGAAAAAGCCATATTTTGTAATGATAACCACTGAAGTTCTGCATCATCTTGCCTACCAGCTGGTTCTTCTGGCCTTGGTGTTTGAAAGCATATACAGCTGAGTCAACTGTAATGACTTTACCAAGATTAGAAATTACAACCAGAATTTGATCCAAAAGCTCTCTGCTGCAGCTTTTCCTTCATACATCATCATCCATATATCAAATTAAAAATTTGATGACAAACCTGAAGACACATAGGACATTTCCTACTTTTTATTGAAAATAGATAACATTTTTAAGAAAGAAGAAATAGATTCTCACCTGTCTAATGCCTTTAGAAGCAACAAAATCTTGAATATCATCAGGCATCTTCAGACCAGGTGGTGCTACATATCTTAAATTAACTTTGTATAAAGTTAATAATCTAGCTAATGAATGTACTGTTCTACCATTCTTTAAATCTCCAACCATAGTTATCTAAAGCAATATAAATTATGTACCCACAAAATCTACCAAATGACATTATTTAAAATAATTGAAATATTGAACGACCATCTGAAATTTAACTAATTTTCACAATACTTCTATAATATAACCCAGAGTTATACAATGATTATTATTTGGGATGAAAAAGGAACTACAGACAAATTTATGAATATTTTCATGTTAATATTAAGTTATTAGTTCACACATTTTTGGAAATTCAGCTTTTACTGGCCTGAAATCTATCATGACATAAAGAGTAGATGATAAAGACAGGATTTTCTCTACTCACTGTTAAATTGTTGACTGTACCTATTTCTTCTCTAATCGTAAAGACATCTAATAAAGCCTGACTGGGATGTTCACCCACTCCATCTCCTGCATTTATAACTGGTTTACGACATGTTCTGGCTGAAGACTAGAAAAATAAAAATAAGACTATATACAATTTGATAATGGCTCTTGTTGTTAATGAAATGACAAAGAGGAAATTTAGATATTTTCATATCATTAAGCTTGTATTTCCAAAGCCATACAGGATCCAAGGAAATGGATTGCAAATAACTAAGGCACTGGCATAGGGTTAATGTTAATCTGATGATAAACTAAATGATTAGAAAATTATCTCTAAGTGTTCGCTTGCTGGATTTTCAAATGCAAGATCTTCTTAAAGAGATAGTAATCTCAGATGTTTCAGCCAAATTCCCCTTCACAGTGATGCCATTGTCCTGGCAAAATTTACCTCATTGTGCAATGCATGGCATTATTAAACTTCTTTAGCCCAACCAATGTCATATTTCACTGAGTGTTTCAGTCATTTGATTGGTCATTCACTAAACTTGGTTGTAAATTTAGCTTTGTGCTTGGAAAACAGCCTTTAGTATTTCCAATATTTCCTCAAATTGCATCTAGATAGGAGGTTATTAAGTTTAACTGCCCCAATTGGTTTTGTGTCAGGAATATTATACAAGAAACTTACCAGAACTGTGCCAGGTTTTGGATGTCTCATAACAATAACATCAGCATATCCTGACATCATAGCTATGGTATCTAAAATTACAATTATGTTCAAAATAAGATGGTAAGGAGATTCCCAGTGTGTGGGATAACTCCAAAATAGCAGGATCTTCAACATAATTCTTTGTCTCACATTTTCAGGATTTTATTAGCATTGTGACATAAATTTGTTTTTTTGTTTTCATAGAATTAGATGTATTTCTTTGAAGAAAATTACATTATATATTTTACGTTTAATTTGGCTCAAAACAGTTTGATTTTCAACAGTTTTTTCTATGTAATCCAATAGTATAGTATTGTGGAATACTAATTTAGTACAGTAACCTACATCGCTATAAAGATAAAGATTATCTTATTGTGCAACAAGGGCAATAACTCCGTAAAAAAATATATATTGTTAAAGTAACCCACCATTCAGGCTTTCTCCTTTTTGAACAGAGGAAGTTACTTCATTCAGATTAATGACAGATCCACCTAATCTCATCATAGCTGCTGCAAAGGAACAACTTGTCCTTGTTGATGCTTCATAAAACATAGAGGCCATGACTTTTCCCTGAAAGTACATACAAAATGAATGCCTTCCATCATTGTTTCTTAAGTAATTAAGCTTAAGTTACTTTTCATATTTAAAAGTGCCAAAGCGCCATAAACCAGGGTCCAGGCCTGGTATCATCATGGGGGTGGGGGATGTGAAGCCCCTCGATGTTGAACATCTTTGTATGTTGAGCTGTTTCTTCTTGACTTACCTTCAGAATATAATCTAATGGTCTATCTCTCATTACCCCAACACGGAAATTGTGGGCTAAATTAAACAATTGATGTAACTGAAATAAAACAAATAATTATAGAATCATTGTATCAAGCAGTTTTATACATATGATAGAAGACAAATGATGTGTTTAATAGGCCATAGTCTGATGATTGTACTGTTGGATATGATTTTTACCAAGTCTTAAGTAAAAATGGAAACTGATCTGGCAATTTCAAACTTCCTGATGGTTTCAAAACACAAGTCAACAGCTTAGACAGAGGTCTTCAGATTCAGATTGTCTGAATTACTTACCTGCTCACGGTTAAATGATGCTACAGACAAAATATGACTTCCAGTTAGCCCAGGGGTATAATGAGGTAAACCAACAGGTTGGAATGACTGGTGTTGTTGTTGCTGCTGATGAGATGAAATAGGAACACTATCTAACATTCCAGCATGTAACTCTTGTGAACCATAAGGTGATTTCAGTGGAGCTGGAGCTAGCCATCTCTGTCCATCTCCTGGTAAAAAATCAGAGTTTCAGATCCAAAGCATAAGCAGCCAGATATTTTTTCATACATAATTATATAACAAACCAGGTCTCTTGTGATACAAACTTACACTATACATATTAGTAAGATATTTATACATAATGAAATTATAAACCAGATATCTTTATAATACATACTTACATTAGAAGTAAGATATCTTTTTATACATACAGACATTAATCAGCCAGATATCTTGTGATATATAAAGGCATTATAAGCCAGATATTCTGTGACGTATACTGACAATATCAGTCAGATATCTTGATATACAAACTGATATTATAAGCAAGATATCTTGATATACATACTGATATCATAAGCCAGATATCTTGTGATATATATTGACGTTGTAAGAAAGATATGTTTTCATACATACAGACATTATAAACTTGATATCTCACGATACATATCAGCATCATATTTAGATATCCCATGTTAAATATTGACATTATAAGATAGATATTTTGTGATACATACTAACAATATATCTTGTTATACTGATATCATAATCATGATATCTTATGATACAAACAGGTATTGTAAGACTGACATTATAAGCCAGAAACATGTGAAACATACTGATAGTATTAACCAGATATCTAATGATACACACTGACATTATAAGTCAGGTATCTTGATATACATTCTGTGACATTATAAGCCAGATATCTTGATATACATACTAATGTTATAAACCAGATATCTTGATATTCATTCTGACATTGTAAGCCAGATATCTTGATATACATACTAATGTTATAAACCAGATATCATGATATACATACTGTGAGATTATAAGCCAGATATCTTGATATACATACTAATGTTATAAACCAGATATCTTGACATACATACTACCATTCAAAGACAGATACATATATCTTGATATACATACTAATGTTATAAACCAGATATCTTGATATACATTCTGACATTATAGGACAGATATCTCAATATACATACTAACATTATAAGCAAGATTTTATATTAATTATAAGAAACAACAAGCTAGACTAAGGTAGTTTTTATAAGAAAAAAAAAATAGAACCCAAAACAATAAACAATAAACAATAATGCTAGTATAGAATTGAAAAGTAAGAAATGAAAAAAAACCAATAAGATACCAAGAAAAATTGAGGAAATTTTTACCAAGAGTTTTGTCCATGGCTACTGATTCTGACACAATCTTTCCTAAATTTGCTACAAAATATTTAAATTCATTACAGATAGAAATCTTCATCATGACCTACAGAACAGCATTTTAGTATTTTCCTACCATTTGACTTGATGCCTGTTACATATCAGAAATAACCTGGTTGGTAATATCTTAAATAGCTTTTATTATATAATTGATGCATTTGATTGTGGTCAAGTAAAGATATTTATACACACACTCCTGAAAAAAAATGGGCAACTTCATTTTTAGGTAGCTGCATTAGCAATTGAAACTGCACATTACCAGACTTGTAGTGTATTTATTTACTTAAAATACTGCTCCCATCTTCAAAATGTCTAGCTATTACTGGCTTTTACCATGACTGCCACCTTTCTTGTGTCACAGAGGTTTATAAATGTAGCAATTTGATTGGATTGTATGCTAACACTACAGAATGTCTGAAATAATAAGCCATGTTTACAGTCTTTTAGTTGAAGGTTCTGATTTGCTGTATTTGCTAGGTTGCAATCCAATCCAATCAATTCAAAAATGGCTTGACATTGTGGAGATGGACTGCTTCATAACATTGCACTAAAATGAGGGCAGGTGAGACAGAGGGGAGATAACTTACCCTGTCTATTATCAGGTGAATCGGGAACTGTTAGGAGAAGCACCACACAAAGAAGGATGAAAAAAACACAAACAATTAAAGCAAAAAATTATTGTTAATTGTCAGCAAATAAAGTGATAAAAATAAATGTATAAAATATAGGATAAAATATGCTATTTTCAGCATGTGATTTGAAAGACAATAAACCTTCATCAAGCTTTAGGAATATTGGTTGAAAAATAAAAAGCTATTAATAATTCAAAATGTAAACAATTTAAATTCGATTTATGACTATAAAAAATTAACTAAATGCCAATTCTAGAGCTTTTACCAACAAATGTGAATGCTCTTTGGACAGGCATGGTTCCTGAAAATATACGTTCACAAAGAGATGTTGGTGTGTAATGATTAGTGTAAATAACAATAATATGGTAATTGGGTAAGGTCTTTCACTCAAATACTTAAAGGGACAGGTGTGCCATTTTGAGGGGTTGATTTTAGTCTTAAATATATGTAAATAGTCTTCAGAAATACTAGAAATGTACGTAAATCACATAATTCCTTTAAAAATACTTCAAACTAGGAATTTTACTCACTATTTCTATATATGGATTTTCTATATATCACAGAGTATCTTAAAGTTATTTTAATATTTAAAGGCAGGTAATTCTAGACACACATGGATTTGAAGGCTCAAATTTTCGACAGAGAGCTGTGAACACTATTACTGATTAGCTTTGGTAAAAAATGGCCTACCTGTCCCTTTAATCAATAGACTTTTATGCTTACACACTTTAAAAATTCATATTGTTCACAAAATAAAGCACAGAGCTTCTAAATCGTTCCTGCATATCCAAAAATAGTATCATTTCAGTCTAAGCATGATAAGCACTAAGCAATCTATGTGACTGAGGCTATTTCAACTGTTCTAATTTGGCAAGTTTGTAGAAAATAAGGGCAAGGTCATTATCAAATTTCTTTCAAGCAGTCAATTCTCATGACATAATGTGATTGAAGTAAAGCAAGAATTTTAACTGAGAGAGGTTTTTGCTGGTTATTTTAATTGTATACAAACTGTATGTCTTATTTAAATCAGACCAGCAATACATAATACATAAATAAATGTTAATCTGGTCTGGTAATGAAAAGAAAGGCATGACTTACTCGAGGTAAAACTTTCGTAACTCTTAGCCGGGAGAGCATATTTCTCATAACCATAGTTTCCTCCATATAATTTACGTGGGCTGGATGGCTCGGAGATATTGGTCTGTTGTGATATGGCTATATTTAACTGAGGTGGTTCCACAATATTAAGGTGTTGATTAGGTTGTACCATTGTTCTAATATCTTGACCATATCCGGGCTCTATCAAAATCTGAAATAATAATACAAAGCATTTTCATTTAAAAAATGAAAATAAATTTAGCCCATTCTCATATAAAATGAATTAAAGAGTTTCACATCCTACATTTTTATACCCCATTATGCTAATGAAGACAGCAACGTCGAGTAGTATGCAATAAGAGAATTTTTTCATGTGAAATCTCAAGGCTAAATAACAGTTACAGAAAAAATGAAATCCTGTAAAAATTCTCTTTACCTCTCCATCAATAAAGGCAGTTTCCCCTCGAATAACTACTCTTCTTACAGCACCACAGACACTTTTACCAGCAAACGGTGTCCATTTTGATTTACTGTATTTCATATGTTGTGGAATAATCCACCTACTGTTCATGTCTACTTCAATATATGTGTCTGGTTGTTCTGGTAGATTAAATATACGTCTGGGATTGGTGTATAATCTTGAAATCAAATCCTGAAACAATAAATACAATATAAAGCTTGTGTCATATTGATATCATTGGGTCATATATTGGTCTTAAAAAATAATTGCTAAGTAAGAGTTATCTCCCATATTTTCCTTCTCAGTAAATCAGAGTTGTCTGCTCTTAAGGTAGATTGTGTGTCATGTGACAGGATATGTACTTTTGTGAGTTGAAGGCATGATGTAAGAGCTTAGAGATTAAATAAAGCATGGCTGAAACTTGGATTCCTAGTTTTGATTATAAAAAGAATCCAAATCCATCTAGGATGGAAACCCCAACAAAACACTTGATTTTTGTGGTACGAAAGCAGACACCTTTCTTATTAGTTTGTGGATTGAGTGATTGCAACTCAGTAGAAAAATTAACCACTGAAACAAGATCTTAACATGCCTTACCTCAAAAGTCTGATTCAGAGAGTGCTAACCAATTTGTCCACTAGGCTGTTTATTAATATTTTTCAATGTCTGGAACTGCCAGGAGTAAAATGATTATGTTTAATAACTAACCTCTAGTGTTAATTTGCCTTCAGTGACTGCTGTTAATAATAATGGTAGCATTGTCTCTAAGCCAGGAAAACCAGGTGGTGCTTTATCACTAGTTTTTTCTTCTACGCTATGTGGAGCTACAAAACAAGTCAAAGATGTGACAATTTCCCTATAGTTATTGGTAAATATTATCCATATTGCATTCTTCATGTCATTGCATGAGTTAAGAAGACAAATATGAAGCAGAAAAGAAGGGAGTTTTATTTCATAGTCTTACCATGATCTGTAGCAAAACAGTCAATAATATCCATATTATCCCATAATGCCTCTTGATCTTCCTTCGTAACCAATGGTGGCTTGACACGTCCTCTGTCAGATCCTATATTACTCAAATCTTCAGCAGTTAGGAATAAATGATGTGGTGCTACTTCACATGTTACTGCTAATCCTTTCTCTTTGGCAGCTTTAATAACCATTATCTAAGATATTCATTACAATATATTATGGCACAGTTAGTTTCTACATGCTTGCTTGGTTACCAAATGCATTATATAAATGGTAGTTTTTAGCTTTGATCCTGGTAGGTGTGTGAAAGTCTGATGACTGTCAACAAGTCATCTTGACTCATAATTCGAGTTGACACAGCTGTAAATGGATTTGGATAATCCAGGAAAGATCAATTTCAAGAGGTTTGGCCAAGGACCAGTTCCTAGAAAGGAATCCTATAAACCTGTTTTCTCTTTCTTAAATCAATAACTGTCTTACCTCCTCTAATCTAGCAACATGACAAACATGAACAGGTCTCTTATATAAATCAGCTAATAAAATAATAGCAGCTGTAGTAGTTCCTTCAGCATGAGCACAAATTGGTAAATTCTTTGGCCAGTTTTCAAAATGCTGAAAGTATTGGAAAAATCTAATAAGTAACACTTAGCATAAATGGCAATAAATCATAACTCAATAATGTCAAAATTCCCTTGAACAAGAGTTAGAAAAGAATTTTCTCAGATCATAAATAGTAAGTAAAGTAAAAAAGAAAAACCTAGATCTGCACCAGAATCAGAAAAATCTGTCATCAATTCATGACACTTTGAATAGTTCAATATCAAAAGGGCGGTATTAAAATAAAATACTTATAGATAACACCCACCTTCATCCAAACAGCTACACTATCTAGTTTCAATGTTGTAAATGTTTCATTTAGGTACATTTTTAAGGCAGCAGCTTGAGGACCTATTTGAGGTAATATTTGATAATTATCTGAACTAGCACCAACAAATATACCATAATCACATCTAGCACCTTTCTGGGCACACTGAAATAACAATTCATATTTGCTTTTCACTCTGACGTCCAAATTCACTTAATAACTTTGGCAATATTATGTAGTACAATGAGGAAATGGGAAAAAAACTCTTTTTGGATTATGAAATGACCTTTTCCATGTCATACCCCCTGGCCTCTTTCTGGACAAGACTAATCCAGTTTGAAACCTGAAGATACTATCTCTACCTATGCTCGGATTTAAACACAAGGCCCTAAGCAAAGTCAGTACGAATATTACTTAAGCATCATTCAGCGACTGAATTCTCTTAAGAAAATATAGAACAGGAACTAATTAAAAATCATCATAAAGAGACATACAAGTAACATACATTTTTAGTAACATTAAATGCAGCCTGATCAACTGTTGGAGGGTTTGTATTAGGCATGGCTAGTATGAGAGTTATTCCCCCTGCTATTGCTGCAGCAGTAGCAGACGCCCAATCTTCTTTATATGTAGCACCAGGCTCTCTAACATGGACATGAACATCAATCAACCCTGAAAGTAAGAAAAGAGAAATATTTATATGAAGAGTGACCTAATTGCGATTCTTGACCACCAACAGAGTCATCTGCTAATTTGTGAGTTATAAATAATAAACATTGTTAGCTAAATGGATTCTAGAGAAGAGGTGCTGAATGCAGAAAGGCACAATATGTTCAGGAAGAGGGGAACAATAGCAGAATAGTATTTTCTGCAGTTCACTATATGGAAATGTGTCATTGTTGAAATATAAACCTCTGAAATCTGTTATGAAACGAATTAGGTGAGTTTTGGTCATTACCTGGTAATCTAAAGACTTTTTGTGATGAAATACAATCTATATGTGTTTTAACTGCTGGTGGTTCTCGTAATATTCTCAATGCCTGTAATAGTCAAATGTAAAACACAAATGTAAACCACTTGCAATATTATATGTAGGTATTATACTGCTTAATTGGTTTTAGAAACTGATATTTCATTGTGAGTAACACAATTTTTTTTCACTGTTTCGAATGATCAAAAGATGCTCATTATCCGTAGAGGTCACTGCCAAAAAGCTTTGTCACACTCCTGCTTGGAAAGAGAAAATGGTGACTAGATAAATAGAATATGGACATACCTCTACAATCATTTTGACACATTTAACATCAGTAATCAATGGTACAGAATAATCCACAGCCATTCTACGTGTTCTATAACCCTGTGTTATAAAGGTTGATGCTCTGTGAGATCCACCATTACGTAAGGGGAGATTTATCACTAGATGAAACATATTTTCAGCTAGATAATTAGCAATGGTTCGTTGTTCTACACCATTATGATTTAACTGATCTGTATCTTCATATGGCCAATCTACTCCTTTGACCTACAAAAAAAAAAATTGATGACAGACTGTTGCTGATTCTATTATAGTGTTGGAATCTTGACATCAATTACTTGATAATGTTGAACAAATAGAGGATGGACTGTTATTTAACACATTAGAGTGTGTTGAAATCTTGACATCATTTACTTGGTAAATTGGTTGAACAAATAGAGGTTGAGAGACCACCATCATTTTAGGGCAATATTTAATTTCAATGAATCTAATAGGTGGAGAATTAGAGTTTTGACCAATCAAAATACAGACTTTGGAATATCTTGTTGGTACATCATGGGTTAGATTTGTCCAACTTGTACCTCCTTGCAGATTAAGATGAACAATTAAAGGCTATTTAATTAGAAATTCAAGAGAATCATAGGATAAACTTATTGAAATTGAATGAACTCACCTTGAAACCATGTTCATTATAAAAATCAGCAGTACCCATACTAGCAAATAGATTATAACCCAAGTCTAATAATGTCTTTATGGTAGGTAATAATTCGTTCTTATACTAATAAAATAAAACCATTTCACACAAAAAATGACTATTGTACAGTTAATATTTTACAACATTCACTTTATAGGTTGTATACTATAAATACTTTTAGTAATCATTAACGTGCATGTTATTTTAACATGACCTATGTCAGAGCTTCTTACTATGAAGGCTTTGTTCTCATAACTATGTTATAATTATAACTTTTAATTTAATTTGCATAATTTAATTGTTGAGAAACAGGAACACAGACATCAATTCTGAGAAGTGAAACAGGCCCCCTCAAATTTTAGAACAATGGAAATAGTATTTAAATGCTGCAAATGAAAGACAAAAAAAATTCTATAGCAATCTCTTCAAGTTCAACAAAAATACTCCTACCTTATAGCTACCAATAGACAGTAGAATGTTTTTATGTGGAATCTGGAAACCTGTACTAATTTGAGCCTTCAGATAAGCTTCATATCTGTTTTCACCAAAAGCTGCTACCTCTCCTGTACTAGCCATTTCAACACCTAGTAACACATCAGCTCCTTGTAGGCGAGAGAACGAGAACACTGGTACCTAGAAATTCAACAAATTTCATACATTGAATGTCAAAGCATCCAATAATTTTGCTTTTGTAGACAAAATTCTAAGTACAAGCATGGAAATTTGTATTGAATTTGATTGTATTTCAAATAATGGTTATTGCCGATTCATTCAATGATCACCTTACCTTTACAGCTACTTTACCACTACCATAAATAACATTACACGGTTCAACCGTCTCTCCCATTATGACATTGGTTGCTGTTGCTATAAAATCATGATCTAAAGCTTTTGATACAAATGGGAATGATCTAGATACTCTCACATTACATTCTATTACTTTGAGCTGGTTGTCCTACAAATGAAGAAAAAATCTGGTTCATGCCACCAAAAACCTAAGATCAAAGACTTACACATAATACAAGGGTAGGCTGTTCCCTTCTTAGTACAGCACTGTAAGACAACCCTCAACTGCATTGTGGTACACTATAGGGCTGAAGGAATATCCGGTGATACCCAGATGGACTCACCAATTGTTAAGCTTTGTATACAAATAGTTGTGCCAAATTTTGCTTTTGTCATGGTGAAACTTCTCTAAAACTAACGATCCAAAATTGGATACTAGTTACATTTTATGTCTGGCCCTATACCTGCCAATATCTCATCTGTATATCACTTCTGAATTTCGATGAACAGGTAAGGCCAGATTTGCCAACATCTGAATTGCTCAGAACATAAAGGGCAGGTCTGTTGTTTGTTTACAATATGTTTGTCATAACATTGCTTGAGAGCCTACCTTGGCAATGAGTTGAATATTCATTGGTCCAGTAACTTCTAATGCTCTAGCAACAGCTAGAGTAATAACTTTGATCTTAGACAATGTCTCCTCATTGAGATCTTGTGGTGGTGTGACTAATGTAGCATCACCTGAGTGTACACCAGCGTTTTCAACATGTTCTGACACAGCCATACAAACAACTTCTCCATCACAAGCTACAGCATCTATATCTATTTCCTGTATAGAGGAAATAAGTTAAGGTTATCACAATTTCACATAGAAAATGGTATTCAATGTTTTTTCAAAGGTTGTTCTTTATGTAACTGCAATTTCCAACTCAATAAATAAACCAAAAATAAATAACAACACATTACCTTTGCTTCTAAAATAAATTTAGAAATAACAACAGGATGTTCTTTAGATACAGCACTAGCTTGAGTTAAATATGTCTCTAGATCAGTGTGGGAATGGGCTACATTCATAGCAGCACCACTTAATACATAGGATGGTCGAATTAAACATGGATACCCTACTTCTTCAGCAAACCGCTTAGCTGTCTAAAACAAGGTTCAAGAGAATATTTAATATCAATGTGGTTTATGGTGTGTAACTGTTAAATTTTCAATGACAAAACTGTTATATTGTAATCTGAAAGTTTGAAGTATACACTTATAGTAGCCTCCCCTTGAAGAACAGAAGGCTAAGATGCAATTCTCTTAAACTTTCACATGAAAAGAGCAGATCTAAACGGACTTATCAATCCTTGTTTCTATTGCCAGACAAGTTAATAAAATGAAGACTGTTCAAGTCTGTACTGTACCTCTATAGTGGTTAATTCCTTCCACAATGGCTGTCCGATTGACATATTATCTAACATTCGTGAAAATTTAAATCTATTTTCAGCATTATCAATACTATCAGGTGATGTTCCTAAAATTTTAGCCTAAAATAAAAACAAATCAATCTGTCACAGATAAAATAGACCTAATATGAACAACATAAGCAAATAAGTGGAATGAAAGGGAGTTTTAAGTCCTGCTTTCCTGTATCTGCATTGAGAAGGAGATATAGTCCATATATGCCCTAATTTTATGTAGTTTATAAATTCAGTACCTGCTGTCTATGTAAAGACATTGCTATATTATTAGGTAACTGTCCACCAACAGATAATATAATACCATCTGGATTCTCTATCAAATATATATCCATTACAGCCTACAATAAAATATAGACATGGAGATTTTAAACATATGTAGAACCTGTGACCATCAGATTGTCTAGAATAAAAGATCCATTTAGACTTCATACCATTAGGGACAAAATGCAATATAAATCCATAAAAAAAATCACAATTTCCCTCATATGCAAGTATTAACCAGGCAGTAATATATAACATTTCATACGACTTAAATAAGCAAAGATAAAAACCATACTAACCTCAAAAGAAATTTCATCAAAATATAATCTATCACACATATCATAATCTGTACTAACTGTTTCTGGATTATAGTTCACCATTATAGTTTTATATCCCAACTAAAATAATAGTACCAAATATACCACAATCACATTATTACCTATAGGAACTCTATGAATAGGGGCTGACACACAAAATTACAATGTGGCATAAGGTGTACCACAAGGATGAACATATTCTGTTTCTATAGTGTCACAAACAAATAACTTATACACATGAACTTGTGACAAATATATAAGGCTCAAGATTTGTTAAAGGGACTCTGTTGTCCGATGCAGATCTTAAAGAGAGAGAGAGAGGGAAGTTCAAAAGTTATTGGTTTTATAAATTGCTTGTAATGGCTCTGATTGAATGCAGAATATAGTATGTACCTTTCTTAACTGTCTAATGCAATTGACGGCACACCAGTCAAACTCAACACTGCTACCAATTCTATAGACACCAGACCCAATAACCATAACATGGCCACCAGGGAAATCTACATCATGTTGGTCACCATTGTACGTTAAATACAGATAGTTGGTAGAGGCTGGCCATTCTCCAGCCACTGTGTCAATCTGTTTTATACTAGGCAAAATATTATAGTCTTGTCTCTGTTTTCTTAATACAAGCTCAGTACTGAAATAATGATAAGAGTGTCATATTATAATATCATGGTCTAACATGTTGTAATATTGTGGGCTTATATCAAGGTATCAAGTCTCTATTAAGAGTTATCTCCCTTGAAGAGAAAGTTGGTTTTGTCACTGTTTTGTCACTGACAACAAGCTATTCTGGAATACTGAGCCCCCATCAATACAATGGTCATATGGATGGTAATCATCTTTGTTTCTCAAGAATATATGAGTTAGTTAGTTGATCCAACTATCTGAAATTTGATCTCAAAGGCTATAAACCACAATGAATACAAGATAGATCTCAAGAAGTCTTCAGGTGCACTTTTGTAATGGATTACATGATTAATGAGTTTAAACAATGGTTTACCTAGAAACAGCAGTAGCTATTTGAGTATCAGAGAAACCAAGTTGTTTAGCTTTTAATATGACATCCCTTGGTACTTTCTTTGGTTGTCCCTGATATTTTTCTATAACTTGTAAATGATCAGTAATATTTTTCATCTTATTGAGGAACCAATGATCTATTTTAGTTAGGTTATATAATTTCTCTGTATCGTATCCATGTTTAAAAGCTGCAGCTACTACAAATATTCTTCTGTCTGTAGGATGTTGTAATTCCTGAAATTAATGGAAAAACCATGATCTCTATTTTCAAACTAGCAGGGCAGACAATTTTTTTTTATTCCAAACAGCACAGAGCACTCTTCAATACACCACTCAATTTGGTGATTATTTACAACATTCATCTCTTTGTAGTTAAAATTAAATAATTCACAATAAGTAAGTAAAGACAGAAAACATACCTTTTGCATTTGTCTCCATAAACGCATTCCAACACACTTGACGTCAAAAAGTAAAATTCTGTAGAAATATGAATCTGATTACTTACATTTTCTGAGACAGATTGTAGATAGGGATCAAACCCAGCCACATTCTCATCCACCATTCTTAAAGCTTTCTGAAACGCTTCTTCAAACTTCCTACCAATAGCCATAACTTCACCTACGCTTTTCATGGAACTTCCAATCTAAAACAAACATTCTCTTGTTGAAATTGTTTTTTGTTTTTTTTAGTCTAAAAAAATAATAAAACATGTGATCATCCATGATCTGCAGATATTGCACCAAAGGTTCTTAGTGATAAAACATTAAACCAATCAAACTACATGTATCACAACTGAAAGATTCTTGTATTGTTTATCATTCTCAAACCAATCAAAATTCAACTGAACATGAATAAAACCAGAACTTGTGCAGATCATGGGTTGACTAATGTAGTAGTCCAGATAAAAAACATGAAACAAACGCTTTAAGTCTAATCATCAATCAGATTACATAAAACAAAGTCTAAAACTAACTTTTGTAGAAACTCTAGAAAACTTCTTTAGATCCCACCTAGGTATTTTCACCACACAATAATCTAAACTAGGCTCAAAACATGCTGTTGTGGAGTTGGTTACAGAGTTCTTTAAACATGGTAAAGGTATATTCAATGCTAATTTGGCTGCTACGTAAGCTAATGGATAGCCTGTGGCCTTACTGGCCAGAGCTGAACTTCTTGATAATCTAGCATTGACTTCTATTATAAAATACTGAAAGGTTAAATTGGCGAAATATAAAATCCCTATAGAAAAAAAAAACAGATAATAAAGTAGAAGACTCATAAACAATTTGACAGCTTTTACCAATCCAAATTTTGTTGATCCTCCAAGTTATACGAACGCCCAAAAGCATAACACAGAGCTAAGCAATTCAAAATAAAAGGTAATCCATCTCTATTTTTGAAGCCTACTTCTTTCAGGAAATTCACGTTAAATATTCCTTGACAGTTGAAATTTATATAAAAAGAGAAGGCTTAAAACGCTGTTTGAACAAAATTTCCTCAAGTCTTTATTAGACGAAATTTGGAGGTGATATCATTTCATTTCTTTATAGTCAAATCTTCATGAAGGTAATTACTAACTTGTTGTGACTGTGGATTTAAGGCATATTGTATATTACATTCTCCTACTACACCAAGATGTCTAATAACTTTAATAGCTGTAGTTCGTAACATATTATATTCTATATTGGTTAATGTTTGACTTGGTGCTACCACTATAGACTCTCCTGTATGAATACCTAATGGATCTACATTCTCCATATTACACACCTAAAACACACGAATATGACAATTACTCCAATATAGCTAAATAACTCTTTGGGTAACCATTAAACAGAGCTCTATTAAAACCATGTAAAGCACAGGGCAGCTGGATTTTCCCAAGATAAAAGATGTGAGACTTGTCGTCATAAATGTCGAAAAAACAAGACAAATTTTAAATATTTGCCAGAGTTCTGATTGGTTGATCTTGCTGTGACTAAAGAAACTTCATGAAATAATTCCTTTACGCGAATCTGATGTAATGAACATTTTCAGTTTTGAGATGTATACAGATCACTGTTTCAATTTACTTACCGTGATACAATTGTCATAAGCATCTCGAACGACTTCATATTCTACCTCTTTCCAACCTTTCAATGATTTATCAATTAAAACTTGAGTTGTATGAGCAAAGGCAGCAGATGCCAGAGTTACTAGTTCTTCTTTATTATCAGCAAAACCTGAACCTAATCCACCTAGAGCAAAAGCTGCTCTTATTAATACTGGATAACCCAATCTCTCTGCAGCTTGTACAGCCTGGAAAGAAAAAACCGTGAAGGGCCAAAGTTTAGAAAAATCTGCCATGAAAAATCTCCGATCTAGGTTTATTTAGTAAACTGTTTACCTGAAATGCCAAATTCCATCCAAAAGTATTCAAGTTACTTGAGACTGTCAATGTACATCAGATGCAGTAAAGTGTCTGAAAGCCAACAAATTCTGATAAGTCTCCCAATAGAGTCAAACAGTTGTTAAGAGGCAAAATAGGAAAAAAATGAGGTATAATAAAAGTCAAATTCATCGTAAATTATATATGATCTTTCCAACAAAACATATATTTAACACCAAAAGATTTGAACCTGTTCTACTGTTTCTGCAGCTTCACTTGGTGCCACATTTTCATTAATTTCTGCCATTTTTTCAGCAAAAATTTTTCTGTCCTCAGTCCATTCAATTGATGCTATCTGAGTACCTAGGACTTTAACTGAATATTGTTCCAGTATTCCTTGTTTAGTCAACTCTATACCACAGTTTAATGCTGTCTGACCACCAAAGGTTAACAATATTCCATCTGGTCTTTCTGATTTGATCACCTTGAAAAGCAAAAGAGTAAATCAAATCCTATCCATCAAAAAATGCACCACATAAATCTTTCCAAGTTTCCAAGTAGGCATACCAAATTTCACCAAGCTCTATTACAAGATAAATGCGTGGCCAATTGAGCTGACTTGCACATCCTACTCATCTGTTCTGGATTGGACTAGATAGGCACCACCATGCAGTATCAAGACATTTTTCAAAGGCAGCAACATCTTAAATGAGCTTACAAGTGCATTGATTTGTTGTCAAATGACTTAATTCTTCTCCCATGTCAGTCATCAGGCCTGTATCACTGATAGAGAGAAATTTAGTTGGGGAAAATTAGAATACTTGACCTATGCATGGATCCAACCCTTAGCTAGCTTTTATCTCTCAGAGGCACACAAGCTGCAGTTGATACCAAATCAATATTCAACTGGTATATCAAGCAAGCATAGTATTCATAGTTTTCACAAAGATTGGAATTCTAAGTTTGCTCTCTGCAATATGTTACAATGAGGTAACAAACCTGTTTAACATAATCTGTAGTAATAGGTAGAAAATAAACTTTATCAGCTAAACCTTTCGATGTCTGCACTGTGGCTATATTGGGATTTATTAACACTATCTGTACAGATTCTTCTTTTAATGCTTTGATTGCCTGAAATAGTTATCTGCAATTAAAGTACTATAATTTAAACAGCTAACTGTCTGCCATGTCTGTTATTATATAGAATTGTACCAATACTTTCATAATAATTTGAATATCAGATTCAAAATAGTGCTGTTTCTGTAAGAATGACTTAGCACTTTGAAATTTGTTTTACAAAGGACAATTTTTTCAGATCATTAATTTTCATAAGCCTGGAGCTTGGATTCAATATAACAAAATATAGTATGAAAATAACATGCAAGTTAGTATTATTAGGTAATTAGGTGTCAATGACTAGAATATGGGTCTGAAACCTGAAGTGTTTGAAGGGAGACTTGTATTAACTGCTTGTGACTCTTCAAGACCTTGCCATTTTTCCATGTCTCCAGAAATGATGTAATCAATTTACCTGAGAACCAGAATAGTCAAACTCCCCAGCTTGTCCAATAGATAAACCACCTGATCCTAATATCAATACTTTCTTTGGTTGAATCTGTGGCAGTTTTATCATGGAATTGTTTGGATTTCTTAATGTATTATATAATCTCTCATTCACTGTAAACCTGAAATACCCAGCAGAATTTACAGTGTTATTTTCACTAGACATACAATTACATAGAAATATCAAATTAATATCATAGTAATATCATAGAAATATCAAAGTAATATCATAGAAATATCAAAGTAATATCAAAAGTAATATCATAGAAATATCAAAGTAATATCATAGAAATATCAAAGTAATATCATAGAAATATCAAAGTAATATCATAGAATATCAATGTAATATCATAGAAATATCAAAGTAATATCATAGAAATATCAATGTAATATCATAAAAATATCAATGTAATATCATAGAAATATTAAAGTTATATCATAGAAATATCAAAGTAATATCATAGAAATATCAAAGTAATATCATAGAAATATCAAAGTTATATCAAAAGTAATACCATAGAAATATCAAAGTAATATCATATAAATATCAAAGTAATATCATTGAAATATCTATGAAATAATCTAGAAATATCTATGAAATATCATAGAAATATTAAAGTAATATCATAGAAATATTAAAGTTATATCATAGAAATATCAAAGTAATATCATAGAAATATCAAAGTAATATCATAGAACTATCAAAGTTATATCAAAAGTAATATCATAGAAATATCAAAGTAATATAGAAATATCAAAGTAATATCATAGAAATATCAATGTAATATCATAGATTAATTAATGCAATATCGTAGAAATATTAAAGTTACATCATAGAAATATCAAAGTTATATCATAGAAATATCAAAGTAATATCATAGAAATATCAAAATATCATAGAAATATCAAAATAGCATAGAAATATCAAAGGGAAGTATGTATCAGCTACATAAAATTGTGACTAAATCCTTTTCTCAGTGTTCAACAATGTATGGCTTTTTCAGTTTGATGTCAATTTTGGCTTTTTTTTAACTAATGTCAGCAGATGGCATTATCTTTAATCAACAAACTTCCCTGGAATAATATTTTTTATCATCATTTCCAACACTTGTGTGGTTTTTGTATCTTATTTCAGCAGAGACACAGGCTTTTATATATGAAACATGCTTACATTTTGTCGCCAATTTTATGTGCTGTAACCTGTTCAAGGAACACATCAAATAAAATCTCCAAATCTTCAGGACCTCCCATACTCTCTGGATGAAACTGTACACTGGAAATAAAAAGATATGGTCTGGTTAACTTCCAAAACAAGCGAGTGGGTGGCTTAGCCAAATTTAACACTTTATTCAACACTTTCATTACTAGTCACTTCTCTACCAGTAAACTAGTACCCTGATGTGTTTTCTTATCACTACACTAACAACAGGTACGGCCTAAATATCATGGTCAAAATATTGACCGCAAGATTCAACGAGACGTCGACTATTTAGCGTTGAAAGCTAGGATCTCTTATGACGTTATTGTAGGGTATGACGTGAATTCCCAACAATCAAAGCCAAGATGACAATAGCCCAAACTCATCCTTCAGTGCGAAGCTTTCGATAGAATTGGGCACCAGTTTACTCTACATAATTACAGGATGTACACATTAAGTCACATTAAGTTTAATGCAAGAGCCACAGACATCAGCATGAAATTTGGAATGGTGCAAATTGATGTTATCAGTGTCCCGATACACATAAAAAATTTACAAAACATCTTTACAATCCCTTTAAGGCACCTCAAATACTCTCCCCAAGGGAGACAACTTACAATAAAGTCTTGATATTTCAAGACCACAACAATGTTATATATAACTCCAAGTCTTACCTAAAGAATGGCTTAGTTTCATGAATAATACCTTCATTTGTTTTATCATTAGCATTAGTAAAGAGTGGCTTCCAGCCTTTAGGTAGAGTGTTAGCATCTACAGCAAAACCGTGATTCTGAGTAGTAATGTAACATCGTATAGTATCTTCATATAAACACGGTTGATTGTGGCCTCTATTACCATATCTACAATCATACAAAAAAATGAATCCTCTCCCAGTGCTCTATAATATATGGGTTTTGTTAATATTGTAAATTCAAATTTTATTTTTCCATTTATGTCAATTGAGGGAGTGATCCTTGTATAATAAACTGAATTTGATATAAATCATAAATTTTCCAAAAACCTTCTGATATCCAAATTGTTTTCACTATTTGGTTTATTTCCATGTCTTCATTATGACTATGGTAGATTTCAAATTTAAATCAGCGCACATTTTGAGCACTTAATAGTGTAATCAGGGCTCTTTTCATTATTAACTAAGATCAAGCAATATTTGATTTTAGATTTAAACTTACTTCATTTTGAATGTAGTAGCACCTATTGCTAGTGATAATAATTGATGTCCTAAACATATACCAAATACAGGTTTATACTGATCTTCTGCTACTATTTGTTTGATATTAGCTATAGTTGATTGACACATCTTAGGATCACCTGGTCCATTACTCAAAAATAAACCATCATATTCTAGGGGATAAAAATATATACTTGAACATTTAAAACATATACATAGATACAAAGATAGTACCCTATATTTGGGTGTATAGTGGATAGTTTTTACCATAAAAACATCTGTCAAATTGCAGATGCACATTATATACAGTGACAAAAGAAATTCAATTCATAACCATGTGATCCCTGATCATGTCGAGTTGACCTCAGATGCAGAAAGGCAGAGGGTGTTTCTATACACATACTATCTGTCACAACACTCATTGTAGTCTTGTTCATCGACAGAGTTGTCAGCCCTCTAATAAGTCTCATACATGAACATTCAGAGATTCACTTAACCGAGCTGCAGAATAGCATTTAGATTTACAATCATACTTCTGGTTACAACAAATCTTTACCTGAACTTTTTATATGATAATTCCAAGGCACAACTGTAACTGAGGCACCACGTTTACACAAACATCTTATTTGATTATTCTTTATACCACAATCTATAGCTACTATTTTTACATGACCATCAGGGTTAAAGGTCATCGGTTCCTTAAAACAAAGTCAATAAAAACAGTTTATGCTATGTGATCATAAGGAAAGGCATCCTTTTGCATGCAAGAGGTAAAAAATCCAGCTTATATCCAAATTTTCTGTACTAATTTACAGGAATAAATTATCATGTGTAGAATATAAAGTTATTTCTTTTTTTGCAGCAGTTGTGATTCAAATTAAAAATTGGCCAATGTACAGTACCTCCTCAAATGAAATATTATGTCCTGTGACTAAAAATACCCTACCTTTAATGAAACTTCAGCCACTAAGTTGATGAGATTCGGATCTGTCATGGAAATACTATCAGCTTGTTCTCCATCCATTACTACCTACAATATATAAAGTTTCTTTTCTCCATGGATATTGCTGCTTAATAAATGTAGTCTTACATTTTTGGCACATTCAAGTCCCATTCCTGAGATACCATTTTCATTACATTTGGTGGCCATGACTAATTTAGTTTGGTGAAAAGAATGGTGCAGTTTGTTTCCAAAATCAGTACTCAACGGAAACTTAGTTATGATGCCGGTGCCATAATGGCAATGCTATTTACCTTTCCTAACATTGTTCCTTTGACGCGAATTTTCTTCGTTAATGATCTAGTATCTACACCTGAAAAGAAATGAGTTCGATTAAATCATCAATTATTACAGGGTTTTGATCATGTTTAGGACCAGACACTTTTGAGTCGCTAGTGTAACGTTGACATTTACATATCTTGGAAATTTGTACACAAAGAGGCGTTTTTTTGAATGTCATGTGGAGAAATTTTACCGAATCAGAATGCTTTCTTTAAAATGTATTAAGAGACCTTTAACATGCACAACTTGTGGCTTGCAGGGCCTCCATTCTCTTCTGAACAACTAAACATTTCAAGCCAAAATGACATCACATCAGTTTCAATCTCACCCATACCTACCCCATATAGCTGGAATATTTTGATCTTCAAGCCATGATGATAGTGATTGTATGGCACTCCAATGACTATATTTCTCTGTGATATCACCAATAATCAAAGCTGAAGCATGGATTTCACCTGATTCAAACCAATTCTTAATACCAAATTCATCATTAGAATCAGCTGGTATACCGTAATTACCAATTAATGGGTAGGTTAAGACTAATATTTGTCGTCTGTATGAAGGGTCTGTTAAAGATTCAGGATACCCAACCATACCAGTCTGAAACACTGTAAACAAATAACATGATCTCATATCATCCATTTATATGATGATCATTTATTTCTGATGTAGCCTAAATTTATTTATTACCTTTTATTACTAAAGACTCAAATTCACAGAAAAACACTTATATTAGTAGAACTATAATGGTATCGAGTATTGTAAAGAGTGTATCATCCTCTTTCAGTGATGTAGTGTGCAATGGGGGAGGGGGTTGGTGTGGAGAATTTTGATTTGACAGCAAACTATCTTTCAATTTTCAATTGTTGGAAATCATTTGTGTGCACACATTTGTAGCATAATGTGTTGCCTCATTTTATTTATTCCAAAACAACCAGATGTTTTCTCATGTCACTGTCAGCCCTTTGGCTTCAGTTCAGACCTGCATCACGCACAGGGGATGAAAATGCATATTTTGTAATTATGGAGATTGTCAAAATGTTATTTCACATATTTTTTCTTGGCATAAAGCCATTGTAAAACCGAAAATTAAAAAAAAATACTTTTGTAAACTTAATAAAGCAGAATTTACGCAATTCAGAAACCATCATGATAGCTGGGTTGAGTACACTATATTATGGTCGTTTGTCAAACCCACGAAGGGGAGTGGGGAGATCAATTAGTGCAATAACGATAGTTTACCCACCAACTTCTCCGGCTACATTTACTCCAGCACCAAACGACATTCCTTTAAAGCAAGAGCCATCTTCGAGATAAAGAGTTGCCATGTCTACCTTCATTTCAGTATAGAATCTTTTAGATTTAATATTTAAATGGCGACTTTCTTTCAGTGACACTCTCCTCAGTCCTCAGCTCCACTCGCTTCAAATATTCAAGACGTTTTTAACAGCATAGACCTAAATAATCTGTTATAGATAATCGTTGCAACTATCAGCAAATTATGTGAACAACAAATTAATAATAAGGATAATGACAGAGAATGCTTATCATCAATGTTATTTTAAAAATTAATATCTACGAAATTTGTAAACAAACATGACAAACACGTGTACGCCATGTTTCTACAACGATCAATTTCTCCATAACACGTCAGAACGTCAGTCAACACGTCAAACACGTCACACGTCGATGCTACCTTATAAAATCAAGAATCATATTATTTTTAGTCACAAAACGAAATAAAAACGATATTTTGAAATGGTGCGAAAGATTCTCATAAATAGCCTAATAATATTAGACTATCTATGTCATTAATATTTTCTAGAAGATTGTCTTAGTGTAAGTGTATGTGACAAAAAAATAGTTTATGACAGTGGTATGTCAGGTAGGCTATAAGTATGCATGTGTTTTGTTACAGGTAGCCTACTGTATCTATATCTAAGTTGGCTTGAAATTGCTTCATTTTAGGTCCATAGTAGCACCAAGATCATGAAGTAATACGATGCAGTCTTTTTAATTATGGAGGTAGTTCTACAAGACCCGTCGCGGATGGCCCGTCGTCCGTCGATGTTTACATGGTGGCGACGGGCCGACGGGTTTGGAAGAAACAATGGAATTATTCAAAATCACGATATAAAAATCATGCCAGATTTGTCTTCATGAGGTTATATAACCTTCATTAAATAGATTAAAATGCTGTAATCAAATATAGGACACAACCTTAATTTTTCAGCCCCATTAAAATAAATCTTCTTTTCAGAAGGGTAGGCTATTTTGAGATTTCTATTTCTGAACAGAAAGAAAAACATACTTTCAACAATATTTTTTATTTTCATAAAAGTCTAACAATGTAAAATGTATTTTGATTGAATGTAGATTATCGTTGCTAACAGATGGGATGGAATATTTTAAAGTGGTGAAGCTTGCAATTAAAGGGACACAGTACTCTAAATATTTACAAGTTATAAAGCTCAATTCAGATATCTTTATCACTTAACGATATAAAAACAAAACATCCACTTCACCTACAATTAAATTGCAATTCATCCATGGACACACCAATCTAAATTAACAGAGCATTTCAGGCTGATATTATCAATATTTTAACAGCATGAGTAAGCCTAACCCCCTGGCAATTTAGACTGATGTCCCTTTTGCCATTATGTTGTAATGCTGACAAACTAGACATCACTTTTTATTCTGAAAAATGATATAGATTGGTGAAATTTCTTTCAGCTAACTTCAAAAGACTCACTTTGTTAAATTTAAGAAACTAATAATTATAAAATTAGACTAATAAAAGATGAAATATCGAAGAGATTCCAGGTAAAATGTGACTATTGTACAAAATGACTATTATCACAGTAGATAAAAGACTATATTACAAGGCAAGTAAGAATAAGCTTATTCAAGACCTTATAAGTTACACTTCTTCATTCATTTTTGTTACTTTGCCATTTTGAAATATATTTAACTACAATGGTTCCAAAAAAAAATCACTGGCAAAAGACGAAATTTGTTAAAAATGGATCTTTCCAGTTCTTAACTTCACCATGGCTGATACAAAAGCTTACAGACACAACAACTTAAACTGGACATTTACTGAAACACAATTACTTTATTGTGTAATTGTAAATTTTCAATGTCCATTTTAGTAGTTAATTCATCAAACAGGCATGATTTACCCTTTTAAAATGCAAGGTAAAGCTTTTAATATTTAACAACTAAGCTCTTAAAAGTTGCGTAAGCTTATTGAATTCTAGAAATTTCACACTAAAACTAAAAGCATAATATGTAAAAGCCATTACCGTTTTATTTTCAAAGAAATACTTTCTGAAAAAGATAAGCATACTTAAATAGCTCAATAATTATGTGTATCACATGTGTTTTCAATAATTTGAATGATTCTTGTTTATTGTAAATAGAACCTGCAATCATGTGACTCAATTAAGTTTATCCATCCTAATTGTTAAGTCTTTTTTGGAACATTAACAAGATCAGAATTTGACAAACTATTTAGGGGTAACAGTGTCATGGGTAAGGATAAATAAGAAGTTCCTCTAAGTGAACCTAGAATTTTACACATTTGAAGCTACAATTGTAGAGAGGTAGGGTGTATTTTAAGCCACTTTATATATTGGAAAAATATATATCTTATTAAACTATATTACTTTTTGTTTTTTTTTTTCTGCTTGATATAATCTTAAAAGGTTTTTTTTTTTTACCACAGTCATGTTCTAATGACCTTATTTTTGACCAATCAAAGTGTGTCAAGTAGCACCTGTTTCTTGATAACAATGACTAATTGTGGAAAAGCTAAACCCAAAGTAGAGAAATATGACAGACTCTTTGGATTTCAACCTTATTAAATGTCCTACATGACAATCATTGTTGGGTTAAAAATAACATCATTAGAATAATAATTTGGTAGAAAACTATTTAGAAAAAACAAAAGTAGTTGTATAGTACCCGTCAGGGGTTTCAAAATAAAATGAAATATCAAATGGTGGTCAATTGTCTAAGATGGCCAAATTATTTTCATGTTTAATTTTGCATGGGCAGATTTTTTTCAGAAAAAGAAATAAAGACCATAGTGAGAATTGCCTAAGATTTAATAGCTTTGACATCAATATCATTCATTCATTTACACACATACTATCTAACAATTATTTTCAAGCATATCCCAAACGGTTATTATCAATATGTGCATCACAGAGAACTACCTCGGTTAAATAAATACATCTAAATAATAATAATGAATTATACACATTATTTGATAATGATCTAAAATAATAATGAATGACTATAATATACAATGTACAATATTTAAAATATCATTATGCCTTCTTCTATCACAGTTCTTCTTGGCCGTAAATTGTGGCACCAATGGACGATTAAACTAAGAATAAAATATGATGCCCAGAATCTCTTCAACGTTTCAAGTACCTGAAATGAAATAAATACCATTCTGTATTATATTATACACATCATATTGTCCTGCCGTCACTTTAATTGGCTCGGCAGCTTCCAGTAGAGAAACATGCTTTGGCTAAGTCGATTATTGCGATGGAATCGTTTTCATTTGCCTGGTGTGTCTATCAGTGTGTGTCAAACTTTTACATTCTGACCAAGAATAGAACATACCTCCATTTGTTTGACTTAGCCAGTTTGTTTGAAGTCATTTCAGCATTCTAACTGACTTAGCAGTCAAATAAAATTTTATTTTTATTTAGCCACTTCAGTTTGGATCTAAAGACAGGCCAGTTTGATGATACAGCCAGCCAATCAAATTTTTGCCCTCTCCAATGCCTTTGTGACATGAACAAAAGGTATATTCCAAGAAGCATTAAACAATGATTGGACCCTTTTAGATAGAACAAAATCCTGCCTTCAATAGAACTAGAAAGCATTCAAAAAAACTTACTTTGCTGTCCAATCTGTACGAGTACCTTGTTCATATTGTCTAGGTTTTGATGAAGGTTTAGTGTTGTTGTTATTAAATTTCATAGAAGGTTCTGTTCTATTCCAAGGCATGTTATTTGACTGAAATGCTGAGAAGATAAATACTTTTGATAACATGCTCACGGTCACTAAACTTGAAAAGCAGAACTCATTAGCTCAAGTATACAGTTTTGGGATAGACAATAAAACAATTTTCTTTACAATAAAGACTGGAGAAATGAAATGATTGAAGACAGACCTATTCTTGGTTGAACCCTGCAACATCATGTTAGCGTAACTCACTGAGCCACAGCAGCTACAAAAGACAATAGATCACTTACAAGGCTTTGTATTGGAACCAAAAGATGGTAAATATCCACCACCACCACCACCACCACCAATAGGACTATAATTATTGCGTTTACCACTTCCTACAATATTCAAAATCAAAACATGTATTAATCTCTGACTCTTCACGAAGAAAGCAGTATACAATGAAGGAAACTCTTATTATTCTCTATTTTGTTGTCCATTTGTTTAAGAATCACTAACTAAATGCGCATAGACTAATGTGCAGAGGACCTTCAGCTTTTCATCTCAGTGAATCTTGATCAAGAATGGTTCAGAATTGTGAACATTCCCGCATGACTGACTTCCGCAATTATTCTCATTAAGGGTAAGTGATTAAGAAGTTTGAGAACTGGAAATCATTCTGGAAAATAATATTACTGTTAAGTCTTGTACATTTATGATTGACAGATTAGGTTCCAAAGGAAACTGACATTTATATCAGAAACTACTTATATTTCATTAGCCAAGGAGATAGATAAAAACATACCTAGGTTATTTGCTCGAGAAATACCAAAACCAGTTATACCAGTACCAGTAATACCAGCACCAGTATTAGCTGTATTTTTACTAAGAAAACTTGTACCCCATGTACTGACATCACTATCTCTCCGAGAAGCACTATTTCTAGGATTTATGCCTGTGAAATAATTGGGCATAATAATGACATTCAAATATTTAAAACACACATCGTTAATCCTAAGATAACAGACACACCATTCAAAGCCTAAGATAACAGGTACACCATTCATAGCCTAAGATAACAGACACACCATTCAAAGCCTAAGATAACAGACACACCATTCAAAGCCTAAGATAACAGACACACCATTCAAAGCCTAAGATAACAGGCACACCATTCAAAGTCTAAGATAACAGACACACCATTCAAAGCCTAAGATAACAGGCACACCATTCAAAGTCTAAGATAACAGACACACCATTCAAAGCCTAAGATAACAGGCACACCATTCAAAGTCTAAGATAACAGACACACCATTCAAAGCCTAAGATAACAGACACACCATTCAAAGCCTAAGATAACAGACACACCATTCAAAGCCTAAGATAACAGACACACCATTCAAAGCCTAAGATAACAGACACACCATTCAAAGCCTAAGATGACAGACACATGAGTCAAAACCTAAGATAACAGACCACACACCTAGGATTTACTGTTATGTTCTATCATGAAATCAGGGAGTAACGAATACCTGGTATATATGTGATTTATAGCATCAAACTTAGCTTTAAAGACATACCATAAGAAACCTAAGATAAAGACATACCTGGTAAGTATCTGGAGGTACTAATATAATGTTTTTTAGCTGAACTGCGACCAGAATTACCAGTGTTCTGTCTATTGTTGGCTTTAGATTGACGTCTGTTTAATAAAGTTCTGGAAATCAATCAAGATATCATGAAATATATGACATATGACTAATATCTTTTCTATATCATAGTAGGCGACGAAAATAATTGAAAGTCAACTGCTATGCTAGTAAAAAACTATTGATTTTACTTAGTGGGGCAAGCAAATCAACATCAGCTCAAAATAAAGAAACCAAATAAATCTTGTTCATTGTTAACTTCAAGTCTTGAAGAGATCTCTTAGCCTTAGTTTATCACATTTAATAAACTTTACTTACGAGAAATATTCATCATCGTCATCAAAATGATTTTCTTTATCTTTTATATTAGGTCTGTTATTATTAATAGGTGGTATGACTTTGTTATTAGATGCTTTCTGTTTGGGTGGTAAATTGAAATCAAACTCTTCAAAATCATCCCAGGTTTGTGATAAACCATTACCACCACCTCCCCATCTCTTTCTACCACTGGGTTTCTTAGATACAGTTACGGCAAATGAACTCTAGAAAACACAATTCACGCAGTTTGATAACAATGAGCATATACTGTATAATTATGAATATAAAGCTCACCATTTCCTACATGAGAAAATTGAGAAATAACAATTGATGTATTAATACATATACATAATATATAACCTACTAATTAGGAGCAATTAATATAATTATATTGATTCTATAACATTTGAGGGTATTTCTCTACATAATGATGATCAGAAACTCATAGAAATATGCAAAGTAACAGATAGGCAAAGCAAGAAATTTTACCATACTACATTAAGCTTAATAAAAATTAGTCAAAAACAGAAAAATTCTTTAAGACCAATGAGAGTGGTTGTATATTGGTAACACATAAGCTTATAAACATTTAAAAGGGATTAGTAATTTTCAATAAAAACCACCACATCCAAAGTTTTCTAAGTATTCATAACAAAATATAAACTTACACTTTCTTCTTTTTTGGTATTAGAGATAGTTGGTAATAATGAAGATAGGTTATCTGATAAAGGTTTATTGTCTGGTATGGTTCTAGGAGGAGATTGAACTGGGGATTTACGATCTGCTGCATTTATACCATTACTAGAAAACGGTGGTCTTGGCTGAATACCAAGATTCTGACCAACTTGAAAATATTGATATCGTAAACTCTGAAGAAAAAAAGATGATTAAATTTTAGTCAATCTGGTCTCCATTCTAGAATAGCATGTTTTTAAAAGTTGTGAGCACTTTCAACTGTGTACGAAATCTGAACAAGAAAGAGGCAGACATGGTTGACGGAAGCTGTAACATTTAAGAATCTGGTTTCTATACTTTTAAATAGTCCATCACACTCTCCTTTGGGCTTAGCTTGCCAAAAATAAGCTTGCATGTAATTTTAAACTGTTCATTGATCAATTATGACAACCCTTTTTACAGAAGAAATTCAACTTTTTATGCACTCCACTAAGTTATGAACAGTGAAATTTTTTTATTTTGGTGTCAACTTACTTGAGCTGATGAAGGTCGTTTGGCTGGATTCCACATCATCATATCTTTCATCAAATGTAAGGCCTCATTGCTGGCATTGGGTATTAATGATTTTAAACTAGTTGCTGTACATTGAGGCCATTTAAAGTTCATAGCTGATGCTAATTGATAGCCCTCCTTCCATTCTTCCTATGAACAGAATTTGAAATCTTCATTCAAGAACAGATCCCTGGGATTTGATACTACTAAGTTATTAACCCTTTGAACACTGAGTACTAATGATCCGAACCACAAAACGAAACAAAATAAGATACAATTAAGTAATGTGACTTCAAGCTTTATGTGGCGTCACATGGTAATGGCTGCTTTATGGATTTGTCCAATATGCGTTTATGTTTAAGTCTGCATGAAAATTTCTTGAATAAAAAAAAAATAAAACAAACAACAAACCTGTCTTGGAGTGCCCAATGTGTTACAAGTTCTAAATATCTGATCTATCTCTGAACTTCCAGGAAGGAGAGGTCTTAGCATGTAGAGTTCTGCCATGATGGTACCAATAGCCCATACATCAATAGGTGAACTATAACTGGTAGAGCGTAGTAAGACCTCTGGAGCTCTGTACCTGAAATAAGAACCATAGACTGTAGAATAAAGGGTAAAATACAATGGAGAATTACATGGACAAAGTTAAACTGATCTTTGCCATTGATATAACCATTGCTTTAACAGCTTGTATTTTGGCTACTTCAAAAGGAAACACAAAAACACGGCCAAGATTTTTCACATTAACCAGTTACGATAACAGCTTTCTGCATCATTTAATGAAAGAAAGGTTAGCTTACCATCTTGTAGAAACATAATCTGTGTATGGAGGTCGAGATCTGATTTCCCTAGCTAAACCAAAATCAGCTATTTTAACTAAATCTGGACCAGAACATAGTAAATTCTCAGGTTTTAAATCTCGGTGAAAGAATCCTACAATTAAAATCATAAGAAAGATACAACACTATGTAGACACTTGAAATATAATGGTTATGTTATACAGTGTGAAAAATTGAAAATATTATTAGTTCTTTTTCGTTTTACAACTTTGATAAGATCTTAAATGAGCAGGTTGATTGACAGACAGAAATGGTATTTCAAATTTCATCGATGACAAACCAAGACCAAAAACTAGATGTGTATAAAGGAATACATACCATGTTTGTGCATGAAAGCTAAGCCTTGTAAAACTTGATATATTATATTTCTAATAACAGACTCAGGAAATAATTTACTCCTAAAAATACAACCATAGAAACCATTATTTTACACATGGATTAAAAATAAAAAGAAAACATATGATTTTGCATTGACTGATAAGGATAATCATCGTACTAATTTTTCCAATTTGGGTAACACAATATATATGTGGTGTGCAATGAAGGAAATTTATCAAGACGCTAACCATTCTTTCTGTCGAAGGTTTGTTAACACACAGGGCTTGTGTTTATTGTCCAACCCAACTGACATGTATGCATGATTGGATGCTTAGATTAAGCGACTGAGCCATTGAGCCAACAACATGATTGCTTTTGGTATCATCATCTTGATCATTAATGATTTTTCATTATGCATGATCCATTATCCATTTACACAACAGTTAACCAGATAGCAATCAGATACCAAAAGTTATCAGTAATTAAGAAACATAATAGGTTGATACATAATCTTGGGATTTTTAGAATGACATTATTTTTGTATACATAAATATCAGTTATAATACCCACCTTTCCTTTGTCATCTGGTATAAATTTTCTTTCATAAATTCGAAAACGAAATATAGCATATCACTTTCTCTAATTACTTCTTTTAACTTGATTATATTTGGATGGTTTAACTTTCTTAATGACTACAATAAAAAAAACAATAGAAAGCTTTGAGAGACAGACTACAATAATCAAAACAAATTCATATAGAAAAATAAAATATTAAGCACAGTCAGTCAGAGTGTTGAAGTCTTGGTTCATAAAACAAATGTTGGAGAACGGCTCCAATTTTAGGCCATATATTATGATATTCTGTCATCTTTATTCATTATATCTTCAACCCATTTTAAATACTTCTTCATCAGGACTGAGAAGTTAATGAAAAGAATATTTGAAATTATCAACGAGAGAATCTCAATGAAACACACAACTCACCTTGACCTCACGTAAATCTAAACATTCCTCCCATGAATAATATTTCTTTTTCATCCTGAAGTAAAAGTGAAACTTCAATGAAATTTCATTTAGAGGCTTGGTGTTTGGATACAATTTAAACAAAAATTTGAAAGTTGAAAGAGAAATGATATATGGTAACCAAAATTGATTTAGAGAAAATTCTTTGGACAAATAACAAAGTAGTTATAACAATGCAATGTAGTTGGAATAAATTGGAATAAGCTTGTAAGTATCAAAAATGATCAATGATTATGAGCTCAAAAAGGTCTTGAGTTGTTAGGGTGGCAGACTAATAATTCCCCTTTTGCTGTATCTATCTGTCCATCTGATCTAAGATTCATTTGTCATCTTATTAGGATAAGCCTCTTGAACATCACCACAATAATTGAAGCAAGTGGAAATATCGAAGCATGGAATGCTCACTCTTCCAGTACACCTGATGCCACTTTCTGATTGAATTTGTCAACTTGCATCACTTTTGGGTAAACAAAATAAGACAATAATTTATTCAATTGTTCGAATAATTTTTTGGATTCATCCATCTAAGGAATTTGATTTTTCATTTCCCCTCAACAAAGATTAGAAGAATTTTCAATTGAATCAATGAGTGAATAATATTGATCCATATGTCTGTTTGATCATATACAAATATTTACTAATCAGATATTTCCATTAAGTTTATTAAAACATCCTCAAATAACCCCTAGCATACGGAAATCACATCAAACAATTCTCCTACCAACTCATTGTAGGATATCCTGCTTTTCATTAAATTCAAAAGGAATAGATAGTAAGCTTATTTAAGCTTGCATTGTAAACTAAGGATTATGCTCTCAGTGAACCAGTATTCCATTCGTATCATCAATGCCTTATGTTGATAAGAAAACTGTGATGCATAGACAAGGTTTTGTTTACGCCCTTATCATGTATTTGGTAAATCTTTTATTGGACATAGCAAGTTATTGTTTATATTTTAATGGCCTGGAACATGTGTTAAAAAACAATTTCATCAGATCATGGATCACAAAGAGTTTTAGTCTTATAAAAATAAAACTAAACAGAAAATCTGCATTTTACCGGTAATCAGATCAAATATTTTCTATTATACACTTGCTGATGTGGCAACTCTCTCCTTTAACCCTTAAAATCCTAGTATTCCGTTTACTCGCCACATAAATAGCAGCTGTTATCAAGTGGCGTCATACGTTTTGAAATTTGGAGTTAAAGTTATATGTTGTTTTATTTCATTTACACACAGGGTTATCAAGAACAAACTATTCATCACCTAGCTATCAATAAACACTATTTAAGACTTAGTTATAAAATAACATGTTATAAGATCACACAATTCTTGAACTATAGAAGCATCCGTATCTAGAAATCTATTATTTATGATATTTACCAAGGACAAAGATAATAAAATCAATATATTGATCATCTTATAGTCTATGTCATAATGTGATCATCTTCCGTTGCCTTGTAAACTTACATAATGAATTGATTTTTCTTATGGAATGCTTATATCGTTAAGACATAAAAGCTAAGATAACGAGCTGTACTATGCCCATTAGTGATATTTCATCATAAGGCAACAAGTTCATACTGGTGGCAATATTGTCATTAAAAATAACTACTAGTGTTGGGTGCATTTTAAAGGGACAGGTGCGTCATACTTTTGTCTCAAAAATTGGATTTTTTGGTAATAGTGATCACAGCTCACCGTCAAAATTCAAGCCTTTAGCCACCTGTGTCCAGAATTATCAGTGTTTGAATGTTAAAATGACAACTCGTCAATTTAAGATACTCTGTGATATATAGAAAAGAGACATATATATAGTTAAAAGAAAGTAAAATTCCTAGTTTGAACTATTTTTAGAGAAATTATGTGATTTTCGTACCTTTCTAGTACGTCTGAAGATAATTTACATATATTCATGATTAAAATGACGCACCAGTACCTTTAAGGAAACTTAATCATTTGCTTCTAAATATAACATCCATTTGCACCATGTCCATTCACGTTTAGCAGCAGTTGTAAATATTGGCAAATATAAATTTGCTTGAAGTTTGAAGTTTGAGGTTGTCAGTGTCCCCAAAACACATACAAAAGCAAGGAAACCACTGGACTGCAATCAATTCAACAGCCTAAATATTCAATAATTTGTGATCTTCATTGGAAATTCTTAAAGCGAACATTTCACGGAAATGTACATGTGAGATTTACTTGTGGTCATCTACAAAGATCAAGAGCTATATGTTATATCACACAGATATTTGATCATTGCTGACAGGGAAAAATAAAGCTAAACTTCAAAATCTACTCACTTCTTGATAGCAACTTTCTCCCCAGTTTCCTTGACATTGCCAAGGATGACACTTCCATAGGTACCATCCCCTAACTGCTTCGACACTGTATAGCGATTCATTGTCATTTATAATGCAACTCTTAACACTGAAACAAAAATTAAGCAGGCTTACTGTGCATGAAATGAAAACTTTCTGAATAAGCTTTTAAAATCATTTATTATACCGGTACTAGATAATTTTGTTTCCTTTTTATTTCTGGGGTTTTCTTTTTAGATCTGACAAGGAACAGGGCCTCACTTATTAATTTTATCAATCAAATCAACTCTGAGACAGTGCCAGTGAAGGTACATGTGACCACAGAGCTGCCGCATTTTTAATTTCAACTTTGATAGCCCAGATGTCCCCTCAACAAGTCAGTCTGCCTCCACTGGCTTATTTAGGTAGGGTATACACAAGTCAAAAAATACAGCAACAACAGACTTATTATGTTCATTGAATTTGAAAATTAAATCATACATAAACTTATAAATTTTAACTAAATAAGTCTCATTCTCAATGGTTTGACTTTGAATCGATTTAATCGGATTCAACAAACTAACAAGTAAACCTTAACAAGGCTATTCCATAACGTTTCTAACACCAGCACACAACCCCGACGATCCAAATCATTTCAGTCCTGATCTGTCATCGGCATCCGATCATGCTCTGTCCAGTCCAGTCAACTCCAACCAAGACAAGCAAGGCGATAAATTTGTTTGTAATTCAATTGTGAGATTTCGGTTGCAATATATAACTTACACTTAACAGAATATCAATTCATCATCATTTCCCAATAGTAACACCAGGGTGTTACGATAAATAAATTCAACCTACCAGATTAAAAGCTATTTTTTAAAGATTATCCGAAAAAGTTTCATCCATTATCCGCCATGTTTTCTGTTGCTATTTTGCTGATCACGTGACTAAATGAATACCGATGACGTCAATGGCCCATTCGTTAAAGTATCCAGACCGTGTAATAACCATAACTTGTGAATACATTATGTGAGACGAAATCATCCGTTATTTAACGGATTCATTTCAACGGCTCGTGACCACTGATCTCGAGAATCAGTGCTCGTGACCGGCCAAAGCTGATGAAGCTTAAACGAATTTAAGCTCTCTCCATCAATTATGAAATGGATCCACTTCTACAGAGATATATTAGTAATGATTGATCAATTCTAGCTATGAATAGAGAAGTTTAAATAATTGAAAATCTAGATGGTTATCACTATTCACTGTCACAAATTGCAGATGAATGAGAGTCGGAGATGTCAAATTTTCTGCCTGAAGATTATCATTTCTCTTGTTGGCCTATAATTGACTGGTTTGAACACAACAAATTTAATGTCAGTTTACAGTTATAGTTTTGCATCCTTTTAGTGCAATCAAAACAAATTCAAATATAGTGTTAAAAGTCAATTTTGATATATTTTTTGATTGAGGCAAGCATGTATAATAATGAATAGTGATAATATACTGCAAATACTGAACAAAAAACATCGTGTGTCACATCTTTGAAACAATAATTGCTTGTGCAACAAAGTTATATAAATGAATATGAAGTCAGTTTTCTCTTCAATAGAAACAATCTTTATTTACATCAAAATAAGTTACAGTAACCATGTATATCAATTACTTGTACATTATCTTTAATAAATATCAGGAGATGACAATAGTGATGTAGGTCATGGAAAATCACACTGTAAACGTTAGAGATTCCTCTATAGTTATATACTATCAAAATTTCTATATTGAACCTCTGATCTTTTTTTAGATTATCTGTATTACTTTACAGCTGGGTTGGTTGGAATAATGAGGAAATATGACCAGGTCACCAGACTTTCACACGCAGGCATAGAGTTATATATAGAACAACCACTTTTAGTTCAATGTAACCAAGCAAATAGCATCATTCTGCAATATGTAGTCATATGATCTAATTTACAACTCCATTTTCAGACTGAAGAATAACTTTAGGAGTATTCAACATCATTCAGAAGAAGAATTCACTATATGCAATCATTTCTTCATATAAGCCGCCATTTTGTTTAAAATTCTTGTACTTATTTCCTGATGAAATATGGAATAATAACATTATTCTCATGCTCATCTCGCAGCTTAAATCTCTTGTTCTTTTCTACCTTGCAATCTTGAGTTGTCTGGAATGCAATAGCTAATACCACCCATTGCTCCAAAACAGGAGAGAAGGGAGATAAGCACAATTTCAGCTCTAGCTGCTAGAAGTAATGTTAATCTATATATGCAGTAGATAATGTCTGTAAATTGTCCAATACATCTCTGTACATGTCCTCATCAAGCCCGCTCTGTAAAAACCTATGATGTTTACGAATATCAAATCGTGTTGTCTCTGTATACAATGAGTGTATTAAATTATAAATTTCTTTACTGCTCTGTAGTGATGTCATCATTGGTACACTTTCAACTCCTGTGAATAGAGAAATTATACATGAGAAGCAGATTTTAAACAAATACATGTTATCTTAATGTACTAACTAAACACCCACTCTGAGAGTCGTCATTTAAAGGGATTGTATTGAAGTTTTCTTCCAGTCAGATATTGTTGTATTTGCACTAGAACATTTTGTGATGTAACTATCTCAAGGACTCTAAAGTAATCATTAGCAGCTTTTGCGATAGTGACATCATAAACACTTAGTTTTAGGGGAATAGCAAGAGCCACAGACAAACCTATATACAATCCACTTGAACCCAAACCCAAAACAAAAGACATATTATGAAAGTCTCTCTGTTGTTCCACAGACTTCTAGTGATTCTCATGTAGTGAAAGATAATCTTTAAAGTATTATTGTTAATTAGACTGATTTCTATAAATCTACTAATATATATGTGAAACTAAAACAAACCTTGTAATGGCAGTCTTTGTCTGGTTGATAAAAATCCTTTACTATTTATAGAAGGTGAAAATATATTTGGAAATGGTGCTTTCACTGGTAACGCTTCATTGAAAACACAACCAGCACTGAAAAATTAAATAGGTATTGTGGGTCGTATAAATGGTTGAAGAGGGATAGAGAAATATTTCCTTGAACTTTTTTGAGGAAAAGAGGGGGCATGATTCTCACAAATGAACAGGCTTGGACCAGATACTTGATTTAGAAATTGGAAGAGGAGTGTTTGTGTTTGGTTTTCTGTGGAATGAAAATGTTCATTTTGAGAAGTGATACAGGTAGATAAAATTCAATTCAATGAGAAAATAAAGGGATATATGCATCTCCAAAGTCTTTGCTTGAATTATGTTTAGAATACGTATATGATTTAATTCCTTTATGTTATGTTATTTCAATAATAAAAATATACATACTTTTTGGTATTAGGAAAGACATCAGTCAGATATTGTTGTAAAACATCTTGTGTATTGGAACAGCTAGCTAATATACCACGTGACAACGATGAAACATTATTACTGAAAATACCATCAACATCGAAAAATAATTCAAAATATTATAACATCAATGTCAATAAAAACAGATCTGAAAATCCAACATGAAATGAAATAGTATTACATCCTACTTTCTGCTTGTAATAAAGCTACAAACTGTCAAGGGATTTTCAAAAAAGTCACCATAGCGTATAGGACCTTGGTTTTTTGTCCAATCCCACTAAAGGAGCAAAATATGCTGGTCACAGGCAAATGGAATTGCAGCGTCAATAATCAGCCAAGAATATTCAACATGTCTTATGCCAGCAATTTGTATAAAATTTTCATCGACATGAGCTGGCACTCAAGCAAATATTTTTAGCCATTTTAAATTCTCTGTGATTGAAATAAAAAATATGGTTGTGGTATATATTTACCTTTTAACAGTGTGAGAGGAGATACCACGTAAAACACATGACTGTAGATCTGGTACCGTACTATTAGTAACATGTGGTACTAAAGATTGCCATGGTGGGTCATTACCATACGACATCAAACTATCTATTAAGCTACTGTTGTCTTCCTTTAGTACAAACGGTAAACTAGTATTTATTGCTGCAACCTAGAAAACATCATAATGATTACAATGAGGTGCTGACCAACTCAATCGTGAAATGGTGTTATGTGGAAAGTTGGGCATGCTAGTCCCAATGGTACCAAGAAAACAAAATATCTAGAACAAATAGATGCTGACTTGACAAATACAAAATTGCAGACGTATGCAAATTTATCATCTTTAAGTAACGGTAAACCATAGACCACCACAAGGTTTGTGGCACTATAGCCACTATAGCTATCTGTTATAGATAGCCTGTAACAAAACTGATTGTCCACAATTTAAATAACTTATGTGAATTCTCCAAAAAAACTATTGAGTTGAAAAACTCAAATGCAATAGTGACATCATAATTCTGGAAAAATAAGCAAAGTCTTGTGTTGCTGCAATTTTTGTTGGTACATTTATATAAAGGAACAATATATAACAGAGTACCATACCTTTCTACCCAACATACTAAATGAAGAAGTAATATCAGTCAAATGACTAAAATTATCATCTCGTCTATATGGTATAGTCATAGTATCTAATGTACTAGCTATTATAGCACTGGTATGGTAGTTTAATTCTTTCTGAAATATTCAAAATATTATTCAGTGTCATTTTGAATTATGGTCCACTAACATATGTGTGCATATCCCAGGGCAATACAAAGCATAAACTTGAGCAAATAAAACACAGGTATCTGAAGTTTCATGAATATAATAACAAAATGCCGATTTTGAGCCTATATCTCGTGGTAACTCTGTATGTAATAGTCGTAAGAGTCAATCTTTTTCAAGTTGTAAATGTTGCAGAATAGCAAACATGATCTTGATTTTGTGATGATATGCATTCCTTCCAAGCTTCGACAAAATTGGTTTAAAATTGTAAATATATGTCAACAGAGAGAAACGTTACAATAGCAGAACGTGATATCTTCATTTTATCCTGTTTGAGCCCAAATTATTCACAGAATATCATTATACATGGCAAATTGTAAACTTACATTATATTGTAAATGAGGAAAAGTCTGTGATGAACCAAGTTTTCTCCACAATGATGTAGCTAACGATATAGGTATAAATAAACCAGAACTTTCACATAATTTCTCATAACATATAGCACTGTTTATAATTCTATTAGATCTTTCTACAGCAGTCTACAATAGATAATATAAAGCACTGTTTATAATTCTATTAGATCTTTCTACAGCTGTCTACAATAGATAACATATAGCACTGTTTATAATTCTATTAGATCTTTCTACAGCTGTCTACAATAGATAACATATAGCATTGTTTATAATTCTATTAGATCTTTCTACAGCAGTCTACAATAGATAACATTTAGCACTGTTCATAATTCTATTAGATCTTTCTACAGCTGTCTACAATAGATAACATATAGCACTGTTTATAATTCTATTAGATCTTTCTACAACTGTCTACATTAGATATTATAAACCATATATTTGAGAATACAGTGTGCACCCCTTCTCATCCTCCAGTATAACTGGAAAACTGGAATAAACAGGCATTTTATTGCCTATGAAGATGGATAATGCCAAGCAGGTAAGCACTACATGAGCTTAGCCACAGAGTGGAATATTACAATAATATTTGTATCTTTGTGCTATAAACTGACTTCTTGCTCCTATGCAGTGATTTCATAAAATGTCTCAATATAGTATAAAACACTTACTGAATCAGGCAAGATATGGGGTGTCATTCCAAAAGTTAGTTTACTTTTACTAGAGAACTCATCTTGTAGGTACTGTAAATAGGTACTAGCAACACCGCCAAAACCATCATAGGTATCTACTAAACAATGGAAACCCTGAAATGAACATCAAACATAAATCCACAGAAACAGGCAAAGAATACCAAATCAAATACAGAGAATCTACAGTCACAGCAAGTAACTTTAAAACTCAAGTCAGACATGAATGGTACACAATATTAGTTCAATAGCACTGAGGAATTTGGATTGAAAAATTTGATAAGCAATGTAACACACATTTCAGCTAATCAAAGGACTTGCTGACTGTGATGTAATTCTGCTTAACTTGCTCCCTGGCTTAAATAAAGTTCAACCAGATAATAATATACCTAAATTATAAACTCTTATTATTACCTGTAATAAGTCACAATCTTCTACAAAGAATCTAATTCTGTCTTCTACATCTTCAAATGTTTCTGGTTTGGAAAAGATTTCTTCACCCATACCAAATACATTAAATGGACGTTCAGTGCTGGAATTAATCAAATCATTAGATACAATACTTCTTTAATTTGATTGACATTTTCAAAACGAAAATGTAAATTAGTGACTGGTCATTACCATATATAGACCAGAAAAAAATGAATGTTGCAAAATGAATTTATGTAACTATTTCTGATCTATTGGGTGGCCAGGATAATACTTTTTCAGCTATAGATTATTTAAAAAGTATCCAAGATCTAAGCTAACTTCAGATGTGTGAAAATGGAGATTAAATCCAGGAAATGTTCGATTAAAGAGATGAAATTGCAGTGATTACCCTCAGCATATTATTTGAGAAAGTTTTTAGTCGTTGGCTAAAAAGGACAATAGTATACATACTCTCCAAGCATATAGTCATTAATAATGTGAAGAGTTTTAGGATGGAGGTACGTTTTTAAATAATCAGACCAAACTGTGACATCTTTATCCAAATTATAATATTTCTGCCCACTGCAAACATTGTTTTCTTCTTTATCTGAAATCAGAACAGATTCTCTTTAAACATATTTGTATTGGATGTAGCGCTTCGTTGGGACAGACAGTTTTGAAAAATTAGGCTAAATGGCTGACACAATGATGAGGTCATTATATTAGCATCAAAATGCATTGTATTATAAATTGTGATTACTTCCCCTTGTTTATTCTCACTGAACTGTAGAAGGACTATATTTAAGCTTTTCAAAAAGAAAAATGATACAGATAGTGCATCAGCATGGGAGCAAATATCTAAAGGAGAAGGGAGAATGCATTATGAGATCTGAAAACAGATACGAACCTGTCATGCCCTCTCCTTCCTCCTCTACCATTTCTTCATCTTCAATTTCTTTTGATGATTCAAACTTCTTCTTCTTTGATGTTGTTGGCTAAAATCAAAGTGAGAAATAGTTTTTTATTAAGCCTATGAAGACTGGACAAAAGAAATCTTGGCATGGCTGTAGCTCAGACGGTATTTTTGGAATCTGATAAGGTCCTCAGCTTGATTTACTCATGTAAAGGATGATGGGCAATGTACCAGAGTCTGGTGGCATAAGTCATTAGTCTCATCTACTGGGAATGTGCTCAAGAATCAATTTTTATTCTAAAAATACAAGGGATAGCTGAGATAGCTGAGATAGAACTACAATGGTTTTCAGAAGCAAATTTTTTATTTAAAGAACTTCAGTTTATCACTTATAATTTACCAACTGAGTGGAAACAGTACCTGAAACTCTTGTTCGAGATCTGTTAAATATTCATTTTTATATCCAGTTCCTGCTTCATGTAATGTTACATCTTCACACCTACAGCAAAAAGACAATAGAGAATGAAGTCCTATGATCGAAAAACATAAAATCCTTATCATCTGTTTAAAATGCAGATCTGGATGTGTCATTACCTTTTTTTTTCTTCAGGCAACTTCACTTGTCATCCGTGATCCGACAAGATTTTTAAATAAATCATATTCATAGAAATTTTGACAAATCATTTTAAAAGATGGCAAGTGGAGTCACGCCCAGAAAAAGAGAATTCAAAACAAAACATTCCGATTTGAATTTTCAATCAGATTGTAATCTTTAAAAGATCCATTAAACCTGCTTCTGTTTCCTATCACGTTTCTTCAATGATACGCAGACATGATATTGAGGTAATTCTAGTCATTAGCAATAAAATGGAATATTTCATTTTAAATTTCAAACTCACCATTTGACCTCTTCTTCATTGTCATCACCATACAGGCCCCCATCTTTACTGAGTGTATTCAAACTCCCCTTTAAATCTATACATACCAGTCTAGGAGTAAATGTAACTGCACCCTTAAAATTAGAAATTATTAGCTGATTTACAATAGTATTAATAACAATATCTTTATTACAATGAGAGAATACAACATAACCCCAAAATACTAGGAGTTAGTGTAACTGCACTCTTAAATTGTTTTTTTATCAAAACAATTTTGAAACAAGGTTGTGGTAAGATAGAAAAAAAAAACTTTTATAGATTGATATTTTTTTTCCCATTTATTTCAGATTATTTCGCAATTGAATAATGTAATGTTTTATATTAATAGGGTCTAGACCAATTAGTTTTCGTAATGGCAGCTACCTTTAGATTAGAAGCCTGTAATTAATTGTACTTTGTCTGAATAGGAGATAGATTCCATAAAACATAATGATTGAAATGTCAATATCAGGTCAGGGTGAGCTCCAGAACAGTTTGAGGGGGTGTATCAAAGACTTTTTTTACTTCGAATTCAGAGAACATGAACATACTTCCTGTCGATTGTATCCTGGAATTGAATGGGTTTTGACTGGTCTTATTAACCCATATTAAACTACACTTTGTTAAGTTAGAACAAAAATGAGGGAGTAGAGCATGTTTTATTCTCTGTCATCTTCTATTCTTTACCCAAAATCTTATTTAATTCTGTTTTGTCCAAAATATTTAACATGCTGCTTTCGTTTCGTTTACATCTGCAGACTTGCTGAGGTTAAAGGGCCAATTTTGATTGGACAATATTAGATATAAATAGGTAATTTCCCTCATCAGTATAACAACGGCCTGGAGGAAGTATGGGGGTGTTGTTTGGACGTGATGAAGTTGGTGCACACTCTTCTTTCTAAGAAGCTGTATTCCTACTAAGCAGATTTATGGTTTACATCATTCTATAACATCAATATTAACCTTTGTAGTCTGTCCTTCTCTAAATAGTACATCATGATTAAGTGACACTCCATCTTTAACATGATTAATATCATAATTAAAACTGCCTTCCTACAATACAAAAAAAATAAAAGTACTGTAATCAAAACACAAATCAAAGTAGCCTACTGTAAGCTGTACTAACATGTAAACCTATACTCTTACAATGTCTATATAATTTAGTTATAATATACAGTTTGTACGCTCATGCATATAATGTACCGGTACTATATAATGTGTACAGTATGTATGGTTATCCTCATGTTAAAATAGATCTTCATCATTGACCCAATATATAAGGTTTAACTAATATTATTATATGCCATAGTCTGTACTTGTACTCCCTGTAAAATTGTACACAAAACATATTACATTACCAGAAAATCAAAATGAAAGTAGGAAGGTAAACGGAAAGAGCGAAGAGGTCTTGTTCAACTATTTAATTAGCAAACATTAACGACCACCCACTGAGATCAGTCATCCACGGCAGCTAGATAAGACAAACATTTCATTTCATCACAAAATTACCTGGATATTCCACCAATGTGAGCCTACAAAGTTGGAATAGTGCCCTATTTGAAGAGTTACAATTTCTCGACCAGCCATGTTTTCTGAAAATGGTACTTCCGGTAAAACTTATTTTTAGAATAGCTACGAATATCCAGCGTCGCGACTAAAAGGAATAGGCCTATAACATAACATTTTAAAGGGATCCTACCTCCTAGGATGAACATGAAATTCAACTTCTCAAACCTGGCCAAAACGAGTATATATTCATCTTTGGACATACCCAGAACCATATCCAAACAATTCTCTATTAAACGATAAATCCATAAAATTCACAATTCATAAAACGTAGTTTTTGTTTGTATTATTTGTGGGATTACACAGGGATTCTGTTGTATATATGGCACCGGATAAATCCACTCGTGAATATACATGTATACCCTTATTGGCCAAGTCTGAGAAGTTTAATTTTAAAGAGGAGAGGATGGATCTGGGAGATACGCTTTACGCTAGCCTTATAGGGTTGAGGCCTTGATCCAAACAAAGGGCGATCAGATATTTGATGCATTTCGTCAGACCCGATTGCATGATGCAAACTGCGCCAGATTATGTACTGAAACTCATCCCTCTGGCCCATTCTATTTTTTCTATACAAATCTATCAGAACTTTATTTTAGACTTATACCGACTGGATAAATTTCGTGTGCGAGTCAGACAGACGTCGAAACTGACAATCATTGAATTTCGAAAGTCTGATTTCCTCCCATGTACCTGTCACTGAAGAATTTTTAATTAAATAATCATATTATCAACGTCATGTACAGTCTGGTTAATTAAGGCACTGATATAAGGTCGCGACGGGATCGCCAGGTCATCAATAATCGGATCAAGTCCGTTCTGTTTTGACTAACATTAAAAAATCAAAATAAACCAACCATCTGTTAGGACTATTAATAATTAACCGATTATCGATTCGATTATGAAATAAAGAAAAGTCCGATTAATTTGATTCCGTCACCCCAATTCCGTCTGGACCCCCAAAATAATGTCGGGTGTTTATGATGTTATGATCGGATTTTAACACGTTCCATAATATAAATTGAAAATGAAAAAAACAAAATGTTATATCATTTCGTGACTTGACGATTGAAACATCTTTCAAGAGATTGACTCTGGTATTAAAACAAGGTAAGAAGACTTTTGAATTTGAGATTTTTAAAGAGGAAGTCATAACTTATACACCTGCGTTTTTTTTTAGTTTCTGATATCTTTTAGGCTTTTAAAGAGGCCGAGCCTCGGCCCGAGGCCCTTTGTGCGTTTCGACCGATAGCTCGGTACACTCTCAGGATAGAAGGTTCACAGTTATGATCTGTTATTGTGCATCGGTAGTGGGTTTCCATGTACCATTGTGCCTCTGCAACCATGACCAACATGATGATCTTTCTTCCTCTATTACTGATGTCGGTCTAACACCCCCCTGCAACTTCAACGCATAGAAACTTCTCCACGGGAAACGCCTGGATAAATCTCCGGCAAATTAAATAAATTTCATTTCATTTTTTTTGGAATGACACACCGAGTTTCTTCTTTATTCCAGAAAAGATGTTCCGTTGGTTAAAGAAAAAGTACCAAAAGAATAACGAGAATTCTAAATCTTCTACATGTAGAAGATTGTCTTTTCCCGACGTAATTGACCACGAGTTCTATTTTGGAAATTTGAAGCAGCTTGAAGATAGGCAATACCGCAGCTACTCAAACCTGTCCACTGATTTCAGCTTCGAGCACATCTATGCTGAAATTGACGATCGAGATTCGTTACCAGGTACATCACTATCGGAACTATCGGTGGTTGATATAGTAGAAGATGGATACGAAGAAGTCAATTCCGTGCCGCTTTCACCATTCCGACCAGCCACTGACGAAGACGATGGCTATCTCATACCATTGAGACCGTGTTCAAGTGGGTCTGACGAAGATGCTCAAAAGTTCCTTAATTATTTTGTCGTGACTCCAGAAAAAGACTTAGTTACAAAAACTGTGAGCAATTCGATCATGAGAGCCTCAAGATCAAGCAATGGTCGCACGATGCAGCTCAGTAAGAGAAAAGAAGTCAAATCATGGCATGGACGTATTGGTCCTCTCTCTTCGGAAGACGATCTATGGGAAGATGTTACAAATGAATTTGTGTTTCAATTGGATACTGTAGCAACTGTTGAGAGAACTCCTTCAAAACTTAGCAGCCTTAGTCGAAAAATACCTTTTTGGAATAAACATCGTGGAGGTGGACAGTCAACTAAAGAGAACGTGGCGTCGAAAAAGAAGTGTAAAAACGTTGGATTGTCTAGAACGAACCCGTCTTCGAACAATTCAGACTCTCTTGGCAGTTTCAGCGATCTCAGTGACGATACGTATTATTGTGAAGTAAGAACAGTCCCAGAAACAGCCTCAGTATTTCAAGAAATGCCATACTTCAACCCAAGATGTGGTTTCGGACTAAATAAATGGTATAAATCCTAATATTTCGCTGAAAAATTAAGTTTGTCTATTAGTGCTAATAAAATAATACCAAAACCTTATAGGCCTACTCATGTCTTTGCTGAAATCTGGGGTTTTATTCCGACATACATGACCCATAATAATTATGTCGAGATAGAAAACCGTCTTTCCCATCATAGATGTAGGATGTAGGGATCGCCACGTAAAAAGCCATTCTGACCACAGAATAATAGCAAGGCCCCTTTAATAGCAATTTTATTTGACACGATACTTCTTAGGCGTATACTAAAAATCTTCTAGTCATTCAGATTGGCAAAAAAGTGTATCATGGGCACAAACTTTCGATGGAAACATTGATGGAGAAACGAAACCGGTACTGACTCTAGCTGGTTTGTGGCGATCATTGCTATAGTGGCTTGAAATGGCCACTCCGCACTTAGAAATCAATGATCTCAATTAGACTCCAATTATTATAGAAAAAAATTAAAGAATATCAGCTATTGAAAATTACCATAATGTCAAGCATAACCTTGACACGATAGTAACACTTTCACAGAAACCACTTTCACAATAGTTTTAATGTCCCAAACAATGGTCATTTTATGTTATGTATATCTGGGAGTCGCGAAGAGCGAGGATGATCAAGGAATATTAAAGGCCGTGGTTAGTACTAGAAGTACTAGAACTGCACGGAAATCGCATAATACCTCAATCTAATACAGTGCTTGAGTTGGAGCGGTACATTTTTGTTGACAATAGCCCTGACTCGAATTGTAGAAGAATTTGACATCAGATTTTGATTATTAAAAAGTCATATGGCCTAAATTGCCGAAATTGGACACATTCAATTCCCAAAACAATACGTAAACGACCATGTTCCTTGAATAAAAAGCATTATTTTATCCAATGTGATGGATCCTCTGGTTGGGTTTGGTCTGGGGTTACTGTAATCTGTGTCTGTTGACAAAGACTGAATGACGGGAAATGACACAGGAAGCGATGAGAAATAGTTCAACAATGTGCATTATGATATATTGTGTGTCTTTCACACAAATAATAATGGAATACTAAAAACTTGCTTAGGGTGGATAATGGACATCGGTTAGCCTTTGATATAGAATAAAAAAATATATATCATTCGCAATACAGCACCCATATTTAAGGTCAGTATTTTATTCTTCGTGAACCCCAAGAATGTAATATGCCATTCACATTGTATCACATCATTGTTATCATAGCGAATCACGTCGCAATGTATCTAATTTCAGCTAGTTAAAATCTCATAGCACTGAGCTAACGCATTAGTAGTTGTGGTCAGTGTACCTTGATAAAAATGTACTCATTTATTTAACAAGCATAATCAATGATACCTCATTAACGGCAAATATATTTTGACCCACTTTATCATTAAACGTGCACTTTACCTCGGTAGCGTCGATTATTGTTTGAAAGTACATTTCGCCCCCGTGATCATAAAATCGTTACTGATTTCTGATTCCTTCCCTTTATAATGATTTATAATCAACTACATGTATGAGTATGAGAGTACTATATATAATGATAAAATCACATTCGAAAATCAAGTCTCGAGAAACTAGAAGGGCCAAATTTATCAGGCTAGTCTTGAGTCTTGATAATTTGTTTTTCTTCTTTAGTTCTTCTTCTACTGTATAGTGAAGAGCTACGTGCACAAAATTGCAAAAGTATGGATCTTTGCACACTTAGATACGAATAATTCCAAATCACTCTGATGTTTTAATGTACCGACTGATCAATAATCACTGAACAAGTTGAATTTTAACTCGAAAACTAAACGCTGATTGGTAAAAATACGGAAGTGGATTCGGTAATGAGATCATTTAATCATATTTTAGATTATTGGACGGCTTCTACTTATTTTAATATAAAGTAAAGTTGTTATAATGATAGGGATTAGGTTTGGCTCACGAGCCCCCAATTCGTGAATAGCTATAGGCCTACATACGGAGCCCCTAAGGCGCAATTGTAAACATATTTATTTATTATTTCGTTTAAACGAAATAATATTTCGTTTTTTTCTTTTAAACGAATTAAATTATTATTTCGTTTAAACGAAATAATTATTTCGTTTTAAAGAAATACCCTATGTTTATTTCGTTTAAACGAAATAATTAATTCGTTTAAACGAAATAACTAATTCGTTTAAACGAAATAATTATTTCGTTTAAACGAAATAAAAAGATGGGTTAATTATTTCGTTTAAACGAAATAGACGAAAAAATTAATTCGTTTAAACGAAATAAACATAGTGTATTGAAGTCATTTGAGTTTTTTGTCTTCTCCGAACCTTTCTATGTCCAGATACATTTTTTTAGATTAACAATACAAGGATAATTCATTCTTAACACCAATAATGAAATAGTTTGCTTGATTTTACTCTTTAAATTGCGGAAAGCCATCTTTAAACAAAACTATTGGAAATCTCCTCTAAATCAAGGGAAGTAACTGGTAGAAGATATTTTATTCGAAGTAACATCAATTTTATTTGAAATTTGTAGCTGTCACAAAAATTATAAAACTGTTTAATGATGTGCATTGACTCTTGAGGGATACTTATCATCATCATGACATGCTCGAACATAGCCTCTTTCGTGTCCATTACTGCAATCAATTTGGGTGACATACCTAATTAGCTGTAATTAAATTGACGATACTATCTGTTATTTGTGTGTTATTTGTTTATTGGTGCGAATCTAAAGATGAGAAAGATAGACATTGATTATTGAAGTGCGTTGTCATTGACATGGTTAATCCGAAGCTTTCTATTTCTTAAATTTTTCAGAACATATTGGACACCTTCATTTTCAGAAGTTCTGTCGATTCAGGGTTTGCACCCTCTCTGATTCCAGGACCAGTGCATCCAAAAATTAACCTTTCCACTTGTTACAACATGACCATATTCCATCGATTAAGAAACGACACCCAATATATAAATAAATATGACATGCCAGTATAGACTCAGTCATGAATAGAGTCAACACAAACTTGTCAGCATGTTTCCGATTAAAATACAATACATCCTTGATGAGCCATGGATACATGCACGCTATTAATTAATAAGTGTTGATATAATGTTATAGCTATTATTGTCATTACATTTCAACCGGAATATTGAAGACTTTCATTAGTTGATGTCTAGGAAATTTCTTTTTCTTTCAAAAGCTCTTACTTTGTTTCTAATTTCCTTACAAATTATAAAGGAAAATGAAAATGAATGCAGTTTTACGTCACATATACAGCTTATCAAGCAACATACAGCATTACGTATAATTATAAAGACATTATCATCACTTTTGAAAATTTACAATCTTATTATTAAGTAAGTATGGTTACATAATTTTTTTGCTCAGGTAACTCGAAATGGCCTTCCGTGAAAGTTCCCCAAGAGCCTCTGCAGATTCAGATTTAAGGAAACTGCCTAATGGCGTTACTTCACAGCAATGTGCAGAATCTCGAAGTAACTAGATTTTCAAGGTTGATTGATAGTTTATAGAAACCACGGTGCGTTGCTCAATATAAGTAGATTTGGCAAATCTTCCCATGAAAATCAGAAGAATTAACGGAATCTACGATGATCCATAGATTGAACACTGGAGTAGAAATTGAGCTGACTTGTAGAGTGAAGTAGGGTCCGCAGAGAAGAAATTGACTAGGTGAACAAGAACGATGAACAGGAAGACATGGAATGTAGAGAAAAGGTAGAGGGAAGATTAAGGAGTAAAACTAAACGGAAATGTTAAGAAGACACAGGACATAGTGAGAGGGACTCAAAGTAGTATTAAAGAGGAGAGAGACAGGGAAAGTAGTAGAATGAAAGGGACAGGAAACAGTATTAAGAACGGAGAGAGACAGGGAAAGGAAAGTAGTAGAATGAAAGGGACAGGAAACAGTATTAAGAACGGAGAGAGACAGGGAAAGTAGTAAGAGGGGATAGGACGTAGTAAGAAAGCAGTGAGACATGGAAAGTAGTAAGAAAGGAGAGAGACAGGGTTAAGTTGTATGAGGCTCAGGAAGTATTAAGAAAGGAGAGAGACAGAAAGTAGTACAGAAGTATTGAGAAAGGAGAGAAACGGGAAGAGTAGTAAGAGGGGGCAGGAAGTAGTATGAAAGCAGAGAGACATGGAAAGTAGTAAGAAGGGAGAGAGAGAGAGACACACACAGGGTTAGCAGCATGAGGTACAGGAAGAAGAGGCTGGGATAGGCATTTGACATATTTGTAGGAGTGAATGAAGAGTCAGGGTGAGAAGGATCAGAGGTAGAGTTTAGTATTGAGAGTGGATAACAGAGACAGAAGTAGGAGCCGATATAGTTTGATAGGTGTCCCTTTTATATTGAGAGGTGCTCGTTGTACCTCCGTGCAGTGCTTTGAATTACAGTACTCCAAAGACTTATGATAGGTCGCATTAACCTATTTCTTTATGTGATTTCTCACCTACTTCATATTTAGTCAAAAATTAGATTTGAAATATTTTCATAAGTAGGCTCAGTGGTCAAATGAAATTGCATTTGAATTACTTCCCTTGGAGTGAACGTATATAAAACGTTACTATTTAAATTAAAAATAATTCAACATGTTTCTGTTGTAGACTCCAGAACGATCTACCAATGACGTCTAAAATAATATACATAATAATAAAATAATCATATTGTAAGATAGATACAATGGATTCGGCTATTATTTTGTTTTTCAAGGTTAATAAACCACCGAGCGGAGATTTGGAAAAAATCACCATGCAAAATATGCAATTTGATTTTATTCGCAGATTGTCGTGATAAATTCTAATTTTGGCTACTCATAGGAAATATTGGATCGTAAAAACTATTATTTTGATTCACACATTGCGATACGATACTGCTTTAATTGAGCCCTGGAGGGATGCTTATGGAGCAAAAATCAATGTTATCCAGTACAAATCACGAGCTGTTAGATGACTAGCTGGACTGACAAAGTTTAATAACTATAAGAGTATTTTCTATAAGACAGAGCAAAATATTACATATGTAACATAAAAAAACAATGTTAGGTAAGTCGGTGTTTGAATAAGAGTGACATTACAGGCTACATGGAGTGCTATAACGGAGCGATCCAAATATCTTTTTAACAATTTTAAAATGAAGAAATGTTTCGAGTGACTTGCATCTGAAAATAAGAACTTTTTAACCAGCTTTGAGAACATTTCAAATTTCGCTAGTGCTATACTTGTTAATGGTTTGGCCATGGATAAATCTGGGAGATGTTTGAGAACACAACATAATATCTAGTTGAATCAGAGTGGTGATCTAGTTTGATTTATTTAGAAGATGTTTTGCTGTCATAAAGCTGGTTTGATCATTATTTGAAAGGCGTTTTGAGAACACAGTACATTTCGCTGTTACAAAGCTGGTTTGGCCATTATTAAAATAACGTTTTAAGAACAGACAGGTCTAACTGTCTTTAGAAAATATCAAATAATTAATATCATATATAATTGTGTTCTAAACTTAAGAGTAATCTGAAGATCTACAGTGAAGTTACAAAGTAACGATTCCAAAGACATGGGCTGAAAAAGAAAGTCGGAACTTTTTACGCAACTGAACCGGAATTAAAATGTGAAATTTTGATCTTGTAATCAATTACAAACTTGTTGCTATTGGCGATTTAGCATCATCGAAGTGATATACTAGTGGAAAGGTTTTGATCAATTTCACGTAGTCAAGGAGACTGAATTTGATGGAATGTTTGAAAAAGATGTAGACTAATTTTAATGGTTGAAACTTTTCCATTTTCCTTTGATGTCGTGAACAATGGTGTAAAAATATCAGAAAAAGTTTCTTTAAAAGCGTTCAATTTGCAAGTAAGTATGCATTTCGTCATCCTTAGTATTGCGTATTACATTGTCTTGTCTTGCGAGTAATTTTTTTTTTACACAAATTGTGCAGAAAAGTAGGACGTAAAACTCCATTCAATTCATTTATTTTCATTTTACAAGCAGATACAAATTTTAACTATCCATTGTCACCTTCTTAAAATGGAAATTCGACATCCATTTTTTTTCACAATTATGGAAGGGTACTGGCAGGTATGTAAGAATATTTCCATGCAAATATCACTAATGATCAATGATTCTTTTAATATTTCTATGAAGTGGGAATCAATTTCTTTTAATTTTAAAAAGTAACGTTTTATATACGTTTTACATCAAAGGGAGGGAATTCCCTACAAATTTATTTGACCACTGAGATTACTCAAGAAAATTTTTTCTAATGCAATTTAGTAACTTATATGTCTAAACTCCGTTTACGAGACAGACATGACGACCTTTTACAAATCTTCGGAGTACTGTGATTCGAAGCATTGCATGGAGTTACACTGAGTTTCTCTCAATAAAAAAAGATACCCCCCTGCAACCAATACCCACTTCACTCCTAATCCCACTATGAACTTCTACCTACTAGGTAAGGGGAAAAGTGGGCTTTCAGGATCCTTTCTATATGTTAAATGATAAGAAAGTATCTTTAAAAGTTACTGTATAAATTAAGTATTTTCAACAAAATCTGTCAATCAACATTATCACTTATGTTATCACTAACATTATTAATTTAATTAAAGATATCACATTGAAATCTATTAATTGCTCCTGATATTCCGTCATTTTACTAATATACAAAGGAAGTACATATCATCTACCATGAAAAATCGATGAAAATGCCCGCTATATGGAAGACTTAAGTTATAATTTTTATAAATTCTGAAGTGCAGTACGCCTCCACACAGAAATGAAATTGACAAAACAAAGACATTATATTGTTTAATACCACATTTAAAGTTAAGAAATACCAAGAATTTAACCTTCATTAACGTATCAATACAATCGATTTTGATTAAAAGAGCAGTCTGACGTTTATAGAAGGTTGGGCAATTCATGTGCTCAAATTAACGAAAGCTACAGATAAACTTGAGATATTTACCTTATCTGAAAGTTACATTATTTACTAACCGTTTTAAAACATTCAGTTTGATCAAGTAATATAATACGATAAAACAGCTAACTCACATATTTTTCAAGGTGACACTCATAAGTTTTGAACCTCAAATGCCAGTGTATGCACTGAATTATTGAGTATAATATATATTTTATTCTATCATTCGAAGATGTTATATGTATCAATATTACCAAAATAACTTAAAACTACAGTATTATTTATGTAAAAATATTATTTATGAAAACTTGATATATAAATATCGTATTTCCTCTCATAAGTTGAAGGTTGAAACAGGTAGATACATGAATATTGATAGAAGCCAGAGACTTTTTGCAAAGAAAATATAATCGAGGACAAATATCATTTTATCTTAGTCTGTTCATCATACCACGCTCTCAAGAAAGACTTTATCAACAAATATTATTGGAATAATCCGTCTATGTTTAAGCCGATAAAATTAGGTTTTAAAAAACCTCGGTAAATTTGTGTACGTTGCTACTGTGAAACGAAATAACTAGTATAATATATTTTATTGTTATTATATTATGGAATATTGATGTTGTTATATTTATTTATATACACCACCCTGCCATCCTGATATTTTTGTGTTAATATATGTATGTTTATGTCTATGTACCTATCTGTATACGACAATAAAACAATACAATACAACACAATTCACATAAAGAGATATATTAATTGCTTTATCAGTCCATGTTGCGTAATTCGAGCAATTTAGTGCCTCGTGGCCATTTGGTACATATGATGCATCCACATGCCCATACAGATGCTGGCGTATATTACTGTGTATTCCAAACTATAATCATTCATTGATGTTGTTTTTTGTACTTAGCTGGTTTGATTAATATTGATGTTAAATATCAAGTGCTGTTATATTCTCCTTCTATTCTTAATTTATTGATGATGTGATTGCTATCTATTTCAAATCAATGACGTTCATTAGAAGTAAGAATAAATGGTTGTTTACAGAAAAGATATCAATAACCCACTGGATTGTTTCGTATTTCATTGATTTGCATTCGTCATGTTGCTTACAGTGCATAATTATTGCATTTCTTATTATGTTTTTTATATCTTTGCATTATTCCATTTTAATTGTGCAGTACAATATATTGTATATTCAAAATGATTATTTTGCTTTTTATAATCATTATTGTTCAATATATTTTTTTCACATTATTGTGCTGTTTATAATCATTATTGTATTGTTGATTTTTATTAAAATTATTATTGTTTTGTTTACATTTATTATTGTGCTTTTTATAATCATTATGGTTCAATATATTTTTTTCACATTATTGTGCTGTTTATATAATTATTATTGTGTTGTTGATTTTTATAACAATCATTATTGTTTTGTTTATATTCATTTTTGTTCTTTTTTATGATCATTATTGTTCAATATATTACTGTGTTTTTTACAATCATTATTGTGTTAATTACATTCATTATTGTGTTGTTTACAATTATTATATTGTAATAATGGTTATCTGATAACATGTGTACTTAAAACACATTGTATGGTGGTGTCGGGTGTACTCGGCAGTATGTTAAGGATCACATGTTTAGTTCACGTGTTTGAACAAGAATCGTGAATATTCGATAAAGCCATATACCACTGGGTATTTGTTTAAAGCTCTATATGGGCTGTATATCTAAACTTAATGGTAATTTTCAAAAAACTTATCAAAAACATAAGACATGGGAATCAATGGGAGATTAACGAAGAAAGTTATAATGGCTATATAATGGATAACGGCCCAGGAAAGGTGAAGAAATCATTGAATCATTGAGTAAATTTCGTTGAAAAGGCAATATAAAGCACATGTCCATGAAATATAAACCAAATTTGTCAACATAATGTGTGCAGCTTTATTTTTTACTCAAAGGACACATATAAAGGCAATCGTATTCTAAGTAGACAATTTGATGCCCGAAACCTAGTGGTAAAGGTTTGGAAATCTAATAATTGAATCATTGTAGACCAATCAGTTTAAGTTGAAGTATATAACTAATATATAACTATACGTAAGGTTTTTAAGTAAAATATACAAGTTTGAAAAAACAAAGTAGGCATTTAATTTTCATACTTTTATTATTAGAAGTAAGCGGAAATGTGAATGGTTGGTTGAAGAACACAAGCTAACGGGACTTAAATAGCTGCTAAGTCCTTTGATGCAATATAGCTTACTTACATGTATGTTTCTCATATGTATTTTTTTTCTCTTTCAGATATGAACAACACAACGACAGTAAACGAAGTGAATTTAATGTTTTCGCTAGAAGTTACCATAACTATTGGAATACTTTCAACGTTGTTGGCTGTACTCACCACTGGTGGAAACTTGCTTGTATTGTTAGCCTTTGCAACAGATAGCACCATTAGAAAGTTTGGTGATTACTTCATACTCAATCTGGCAGTGGCGGATTTCATCATTGGATGTTTGTGTATACCACCATATATTCCGTACTTGTTGACCGGAGAGTGGTCCATTGGGCGCTTCTTCTGTAAATTTTGGTTGGTGCTTGACTATGTCGCCCCTGCTACCTCAACCCTTGCAGTCTGCGTTATCAGTATAGATCGCTATCTTTCAGTAGCGTACGCTATTAGTTACAAAGGCCGCCAAAGCAACAGACTTAGAAATATGATGTTGGTAACGCCATGGGTAATAACATTTTGCGTCTTTTGTCCTGCCATTGTTTTCTGGGAAATGGTTTCGGGTGTTGATGACCTACCAGAAAGTGTGTGCGTCATTCCGTATCACAAAAATCTTGGGTATCTTCTATTTGGTGGCTTTGTAGAGTTTATTTTACCTCTAACTATTATCATAACGCTGAACTTCTTGCTGTTTTTAAATGTCCGAAAACGATCCAGAATTGGTATAACTGGACAATCTCGACCATCTGTGTTTACGGTATCAGATGCTAGATCTGGTACTGAGTCGACTCAAGTGGGCGATACACCGAATCCCGGTAGGCAAATACACCTCCCAGTACCAATAGGTACTTCTTTAGGGAAACCGAATAAAGGCAACGATAAGTTCAGTCGGGATCGAAGGGTGGCGAAATCATTGTTTACGTTAGTTTTCATTTTCGTCATTTGTTGGATGCCTTTCGAGATAATGTCCATGGTTCTCAGTGTATCACCAGACGCTATACATCCAACAGTTTTTGAGGTCGCCTTTTGGATATTATGGATAAATTCCACCGTAAATCCAATTCTGTATCCATTTTTACACACCAGGATAAGAAAAGCCTTTATAAAATTAATCAGGCGATGTTGGTGTTTCTGTTGCAGATAAAATAATATGAGATGAGGCTAGATATCTAGTTAACGAATGCACCATATCGGTTCAGATGAACAGAAATATTTTGAAACCAATAAATTTAAGGTTCTTTTGCAAGTTCGTGCTATTATAATAAATGCGTTTGATTTAGCAAAAAATGCCAACCTCAATACATCAAGAATATTTTTTCTAGCTATGGAATCGCGTGTCAAAACTTTGAATTGTCAACTAACGTTATATTCAGTTATATGTAGATTAAAGCACGTTCAATAATGTGCCAAAAATTCAAAGAAATGAAAAAAATTCGGCTTATTAAGTAAGTGAGATAAATGACGCATTAGAAAATCGATCTTTAAAGTTGAAGAGACGATGGTTTTCAAGTCTTATTATGAACTTTTAGCTTGTATTAAAAGCCCACATTTCTGGTTTCCAGTCCGATACCTTTGTTTTATGTTTTATCAGACAGAATATTATAACGTCGCTATGGCTAAAAGCAACTTAGGTAGTGGAAATAGAAGTTCTATTCGTGTTTTTCAATTACAAGAAACCTTTCTTTATCAGATTATATCAGAGTTTTACGTCCTACTTTTCCGATCCTGGTTATGCTAATAAGGAGTATATAACATGTGATAATTATAGACTATTTTTATGAAAAAAATTTAAAGTTCGTCAAAGTGCAGAAGATCAATTTCGGCTAATTATAAACAATAAAAGTATGAAAATAAAATGCCCTCTTTATTTTTTCAAACATATATTGTCAATATATTGCATAGCAAGCAAGTATGGATGCCTAAAGTCACATATGGCTGAAACAATAGAAGTTTTCTGTGGCCAGAAGGGTCAATGTTTGTTGTTTAGTTTTCCAGCTGGGTTGTTCTATAAGATGTAATGATAACTGACAACTTAGTAATTATCTGAACATTAACAGTCATATTACTATGATCCTTTTGTCATCAAGTCATGATCATGTCATTCTGTAAGGTTAAATAAATACTTGCATTAACGTTAGTTTTCATACTTATTATTCTGTTTCCGGTACATTAATGTATTCCAATATTCCATATACATGTACAGGGTCAATACAAACAAATCTTAAAGGGGTCGAGTCGACTATCTATTACTCGGTAATCTTCATGCTGATTCCTTTATTTTGAAAATGACCTCATCCAAACATATACACAACGTTGTTATATAAAAATTGAAAAATGCAAGTGTGGAAGAGTGTTGAGGGGTGTTTTATAAAACTTTAAAGTGATGCTCCAACATTACAATAATTACATATACATAGTATACAAGGTCAATACAAAGAAAACTTAAAGGCACATACATGTATTTTGTATTCGGTTCCCTTCATACTTATAGATTCATCTCCAGATGCTCATAATACTTTACAGAATGATAAGATAAGTTCTTTGAATTGTACATAAACTGTTTTCTGTCTCTGTTTTGAACCAATACTCCATTAATTGTAGATACAGATAAAAGATCAATACATAGAAAACTTAAAGGGATATACATAATCCTAATTTTATTAGTCGGTTTACCTGATACAGATAAACTTCATCTAAGGATACCCATAAACCTTACAGAATGAAAAGTCGACATAGGTTCATTGAATTGTAGATGAACTAAGCGTCAGATTTTCAGTTTGTAAAGTATTCATTATTGTATATACAGATAAAAAGTCAATACACAGGGATACATAGAGTCCTAAAATATTATTTAGTTTTCCCCATGCTGATAAATGTCATCTGCATACGGTCATAACACTTTACAGAATCAACTTCTCTTCACCACGTCCGAAACATTTATATCTACAGTGTCATAATTAAGAGTGTGGTTTTAACCAGAATGACTGTGTTACTTGGTTTGATATCCGAATTACACAAACATATTCGAACATGTTTTAGACTGTATTTCAGTTCCTCAAAAAGTTCAATAGACTACTGATATACCCTGCACAAATTTCGCTCAAACCAATCGACGTCTAGTTTTCTCTAACCACTGCTCTAACTGATATATTCAACCTGATTGATACTGATTGGTGATTATTTGTCTAATCAGTCGGCATGTTGTACACCTCGGAGTCACATTTTGTTCGGAAATACTCGTATCTATCTAGGAAAAAATCAACAATTTTCTGCAAAATATTCTTGATTTTCAAGTCGAAATTTTTACGAGTGGGTTGCATTTTCATTCGTTATCAAGTCTCTAAAAGACTAAAGTCTGACTAATTTTTGTTGCTGAGATATAACGCTAGATGTCCTTTTTGGCTGTTCAGTTATAGGCAAGTCCTTAATTACAAATTATTTATGAAAGTCACGACTAAACGGCGGGTTAATTGCGTGGCTTGGGTCCTAAGAAGTCGTAGTTTGGATTGCCCAGAAGAATGTATCCGAAAGGGATAGTCTAGCCGACAAATCTAGTTATGCATGGGTGGGCATAAGCATAAAGATAGATGGCCCCTCAAAACATGAACGTTGATTGACCATTTAGGGCGCCTTGTGACATTGGTACGGGCTTTGAGGCATAGTCACTTCAAGAAAAAATGTGACCTCGGCAATAAAAGCCTTTTTTTTAAAAGGATGATCCGATGCAAATCGCGAAATGTTATCGAAGTCGGAGTCCATCAGTCAATGTTTCAATCGTGATAAATTTGGAATAAAACACCCTTATGTACATGATCATATTGGAATATTTTTCAAGATCAATTCTGATCAATTGGCAAAAAGGGTGCTTTTTGGGAAAAAAATTATTTAATGGCACACTGACTATTATAACTTGAAGCATAGTTACTTTCAGAGTTTATTAGTTGTAGTCTGACGTATATTTGATACTCAGACTTCATTACCTTCCATTGAGATGACTCTCTAATAATAAAGGAAGTTTTCGGTACCCGCTAAAAATCGGTGAGGTTTTCCAATTTTCTTGACAAAATGTAAATTTGTACAAAAAGTGCAACCGTTTGCCCTGAAAATTAACCTAAAGATGAATATTTGACAATGTACGGAATATAAGAAACTATGGATATAAGTGACGATAACGTGCAAATGCTCCTAAACATGGGGTTTCCCTCGGAGATGGAAGTTCGAAGAGCACTCCGCATGGCCAAGAATGACCTAAATGATGCTGTAGCTTATTTGACTAACGACCATCCCAGTTCATCGTATGATGCTTTGGATGATGTTGATGTAGAGATGAAAGAAATAGTGCCAAGAAGTACATCTGAACCGCTTTATGGACCACATCTACCTCCTACTTATAGCAACTATGGCAATGAATATGAACTTGAAGTGAGTAAATTTGTTTATTTGGAACTGTCACTGCTGTCAGATAATTCTATTTCTAGGTCTATGTCATTTGTAATTTATTTTTTATCGAGACTGACCTTATACCTGCAATGATTGTACTTGGTATAATCCTATAGAAAAATCAAAATGTTCTTCACTTAGTTTCTTTTATGTTTATTGCATAATTCTTGTTATTTTGTGAAGTGTATAGTCTTGACAACTGAGCATGTAAATAAACATGATTTCTGTCGAATTAACATTGATTTCATACAATACCTTATTATGTTATGAACAGTTTCAAAATCAAGGCAGTATGAATGGTAATAATTCTGCTGTATCAGCTATGGATGAAAGTGATAATATGGAATTTCCAGTGACCAATCTGTATGAGTTAGAGGGGCGTGTTTTTACAGAGACTTGGAATATTCCATATAAAAAAGAAGAGAGTTTGGGGAAATGTTTGGTTTCTGCTGCCAAACTAGCCGAGGCTGGTAAGCTGATTGAGTATCTATTGTCAATCTTTATGTACTTGTATTGTCAAGATGACAAATCTTTCCAAACCGGCTATAGGCCTACTGATGAGGATTTAATATCATAAGCATGTGTCGTAAGATGAGTTTTTGTCATTTTAAATATTGTTCAGTTATTAAAAAACCAATCAAGTACCTGTAAATAAATTGAGACTACTGTCATTTTGACTTTCATATTTTACAGTTTATTTTTTTTATAGGCTTATTAGAAAATGATGAAAATTGCTGTCGTTTTATAGATAAATGCATGCCAGAAGCATTTTATAAGGTATGTATATGTTATCTTTGTATTACCCACTTTGTTTAGAATACTTACAGTTTGGGTATTGTCCAATAATATCAATGCTTATCTGAATGTCTGTGGCAATTCTTTGGAAACAGAAATATAAGTACTGGTTAGATAAATCTGGGACGATTCTATGAAACTGATTTTTGATACATGATACAAATTGTTGTAGGAGATTTGAATTGTATAGCATTTTTTCCAAAATGTGTAGCATTATTCTAAAGGTTTTGGCAGTCTTGGTTTGATCAAAAACATGTGAGTTCTAGAAATAAAGCCTAGTTGTATGAATCAAAGGTTTACTTTCAACTGGCTAGAGAATGTTTCAAACTAGGCTCACATCAGCCAGTAAACCATTTAAATCTTTGTGTTAGCTCCTTTTGAAATTATCAAACTGAATTGACAAGAAATTCAAAGTAAGCTTATTTAATTCAATTTTTTTTGTAATTTCCACTTCAGCTTCTAACATCTAATGCAGTACATAAATGGGGCAGTGAGATACAGGAAGGGATATATGATATGTTAATTTTACTGATTGATGTAGTAGTTAATAGATTAAAACATCAACCAGTACATGTTGGTTTGTTAGATGTCCTTACTTTGGTAAGTATCTTTAATATACTTATAAATATTTATTTAAAACAGTGGAATTGATTTGTTTGTGGTAATTGGTAGTTTCCTTCAAATTTTTTTTACTATGACAACAAAATGGTTTTACATGGAGTAAAAAATCAGTCCCATTATAGATAGGAATTATTGTTGTGTCTAATTCAGACATAATTTGTTTATTTTCTTAAAGCTTAATTTTCCTCAAAGTTGTAATATAATAAAAGTAAAACTATGCTTTCAAATCTGATTATATACTCTACCAAACTGAGACTGACTTGAATATTTTTGAAAATCTGAGGTCCTATGTGCTATTTCTTCATATTGTTATGATGGACAAAGCCATACAAAGTTTATTTCTGTGACTCTATTATATTTTCCTAGGCTTTTGATCCTGAAACAGAATTTCATTTTAAAAATAAAGCTAAACGTGATACTAATGGTAATTGGGAAGAGAAATTTGAAGAAGGTCAACCAGTAGCAGTGATGCCAGTTGGTAGTTATAAGGCTGTAAGTAGTAATGATTGAGTTGAAATCAATTAAGGTCTGAATAATAGTTAGAGTTTTATTTTGATAAATGGAATTTGAAGTTATTTCCCTTGAATCATATTAAACTTGTATCATTGATCTAATAGAAGCAGTTAGTTTTCATCAGATCACTTTTTCATAAACTTTTTGTCTTATTTATAGCATCCATATGGTTGGCTTACTCATCTAATAAATAAGGTAAGTAACACAGTAGAATATTAAAATTAGATACATGTTGATCAGCATCTTGCATTGAAATAAAGTCCAGTTATCATTTAATCAAATACTTAATATCAAATTATATCAAATATTAAAACAAATTTTATGATATCAAATATTGAAACAAGTTTTATGAAATCAAATATTAAATCAAGTTTTATGATATCAAATATTAAAACAAGTTTTATGATATCAAATATTAAAACAAGTTTTATGATATCAAAATATTAAAACATGTTTTATGATATCAAAATATTAAAACAAGTTTTATGATATCAAAATATTAAAACAAGTTTTATGATATCAAATGTTAAAACAAGTTTTATGGTATCGAAATATTAAAACTAGTTTTATGATATCAAAATATTAAAACAAGTTTTATGATTTAAAATATTAAAACAAGTTTTATCATATCAAATATTAAAATAAGTTTTATGATATCAAATATTAAAACAAGTTTTATGATATCAAATATTAAAACAAGTTTTATCATATCAAATATTAAAACAAGTTTTATCATATCAAATATTAAAATAAGTTTTATGATATCAAATATTAAAACAAGTTTTATCATATCAAATATTAAAACAAGTTTTATCATATCAAATATTAAAATAAGTTTTATGATATCAAATATTAAAACAAGTTTTATCATATCAAATATTAAAACAAGTTTTATGATATCAAATATTAAAACAAGTTTTATCATATCAAATATTAAAACAAGTTTTACCATATCAAATGAGAAAACACTTTCTATGATACCGAAAAACCCAAAAAGCAAAAGATATTTACTATGATTTTCTGATCTTGTAGTTTTCAGCTCAGGGTGGTTTAGAATCGGTGATTAAGATTTTAGAAAATGAAGAATTGGATGCACCTGTAAGTATTAAAATGCTTCATACTGAAATTAAATGAATTAGAGTTTTCCATCTGACTTTACTGAAGTAAATAATGTCATGAGTGCACAATGAGGGAAATTTTGATAAGTTGTATAAGACTATACATAATCCATTTCCAATATTTGCACAACCTTCACATGACTTGGGTTTATTATCCCTTGTGAAAGACTAGATGCTTTGTTCAGTCACCCTGGACCTTAAGGTTATCAAGCTAACATCTATATGTCTTGAAGAATAGATCTAAGACCTGTCCATACAGTATACAACTCAATAGTATTTTTATATTTCAGGTTATGGCAGCTTTATTACGACCTTTTGGTATATGTTCTGATTTTCTTAATTCTCAATTATTAAAAGACTTGTTAGCACCAGGTATGGATAGAGCTAATAAATATGTGAAAGGTTTAGAAGAGAAAGATTTGAAGGAAAAGGTATGTTATTTCTCTTTAAAATTCACTCCATCATCCTTGTCCCTTTTCGGATGAAATTTTGACTTAGTGTTTGCTAAAAGGTTGATTGAAGGTTTGTTTTGATTAGATTAAGATGGACTGTGTCCGATACATTTCTAGATTGAATGCTACCTAATTTGATTTATGCAAGCGAATATACAGGATAACTTTATAAAAACACAAGCAGGTCTTTCTCCCATTGAACACATATATACAGTTTTTTTTTTAATTTTTTCATTGGGTTAGTAATATCTGTTTGATAAAACTCTTCTCAACTATAAATATCTCAAATATAGCTCAAATTTTAGCCCCCACAGCCAATAAAATCATTTTGCTCTCTGTTTACAGAAAATAGGCAGTGTGGCCAATTTACTCGCTTCCATGAAGCTACTGTGTCTAAATATGTGGGTACAAAATGTTGATGCTATAGATGAATTGAGGTTGGAAATGGCTTTAAGAATGTTGAAGTCACCTAATTTTAATGCCAAGATGAACTCATTGAAAGAGGTGACCAAGTTAATAGAAGAATCTACTGGTAGTAAAGTACCTAAAACAGCTATAGAGACTGATAAAATCTTAGATTGGCTAGTTGATAACAGAATATTGAGCATTGCTCTTGAAGGTATGTTTACCTTTTATTTAGCAAAAACAAACTTCTCCATTCAAATTTTGTTTTGTGAACTGTAGTGGTATACAAATTGGTTGCATGCTAGCTAGCCTGTAAGTCTTGGCATTGAGCCATTTTGACATTTGTATCATTCATCATTATTTGTATTTTGAGCCAACCCAAATCCCCATGCCATTAATGACAATTAAGGGGGTGACATTGTAAGGAGTCATGTATGAATATGATGATAAATCCAATTCCTTTATTTAAAAAGCAAATTAAATCAAAATAGTTGGAACTTTTTAGAATTATATATTTATTTTATAGGTAATATAGACCAAGCTCAATATTGTGATAAAATTAAAGGAATAGTAGATTTTCTAGGCAGTAAGTTATCTACTGATGAATTAACTATGATCTGGAAAATGCAGGTAGGTGTATCAAACAAGGTGCTGATTAAAAATAGTTTTAAATCATACCAACATTTATTCTAATTTTCAAAGTAGGGGTTGAATTCATAATTGTTTCACACTTTTTGATGGTCATTCTTCTAAAGTATAAAATGTAAATTTTCACATAGAATGAATTTAATATTTTTTTCCTTCATTTGAATGGCTGTTATAACATTATGTACCTGTATAAGTTATAATGCAGCTGATTCAGATGTTTTTTCAAATGTACTAATGTTCTAATAATAATGCCATGAGTCGAATTCCATCAAACAAAAAAATTACCGATTTAGACAAGAAATCAGTTCAATAGTTCTTCAGGATCAATCAATATAATACAATATTATTTCAGAATGGTCAGACTAATAATGTTATAGATAATATACACTCTATAGTTGCTGCGGCTGCTGTTAAATTTGATCCTCAACAGTTAGAACATTTATTTCTTCTTATACAGAAGGTAAGTAAAACAATACCACTGATTTTCTTTTAAACAATGCTATATTTGTGTGTATAATGTGCATAAAGCAAAGAGGTTTGCATTACATCTGATGACGACACGTGTATATTGTGTTGAAACGTTATCTTATATTGTCTTGTGTTTTGTTATATGTGCTCCTCGCTTCTATATGTCATTCAAATCATATAAAGATATTGTTGTGTTTGTAGAAATGGCAGGATGATAATAATAGAATGAGAGAGAAGTTATTAAGTTTAATTGGTAAAATTGGTAAAGATGCTAGAGTCGCAAAAACTACAACTAGAGTAAGTTGACTGAATGATGATTTATTTGTGTTATTTGAAACCAGGCTTTGATTTGATTTCTTCCATTTACTACCGATGTTGTGTTGTTGACATCAATCAGTGAAACATGCTTTGTTTTTTCCTAGTGATGCAGGTTGGTTCAATATACTTTGAAAAAAGCAACAGATTGTTCATATGGGACAATAAATTGAGGCTACAGGATATGAATTTTTTCCTTTCATTCCAAATTGGATCAAGAAGCTTCATATACAGTGTAAATCATCTCATTTCTGTCAACAAATGCTGTATGTCATTTTGCTGTTTTCTAGGTGTTAGAATTATTGTGGGATTTAGCTCATTTACCAGTGTTATCAACCCATCTTATAGAACAAGCGTTAGAAGAACACCATGCTATATTAAGTGATAGCTATAGTGTTAAAGAACAGGTTAAATTACAGTATGTTAATAAATGTGTGGAAGACATTAAAAAGGTCAGTGAGATATTTCATAATTTCCCCCATTGCTCACAGCAAATATCATCATTGTTTATACAGTATCTGCCAAACTTACTCAAATGCATTGTCAAGACTCAGCAGTACTAGTATCAAGAATGAATTTATACTCTTATTTTACAGGGTGCTTGTGTATTACCAGCTTTAAGGCAGCTAATAAATATCAGTAAAAATATCATTAAACAAAGTCAACATAAAACAGATAAGGTCAGTTTTTTGGTTGATAAGAATGTTTTCCCCATAGTGCACCTCCAAACCATATCAAGGTTGATCAAATCTAGAAGATTATTAATTGTGTCTAGAAGTGCGAGAGTGCATTTCATTCTCATCAGAGCATGGTGTCAAGTCTCCCATATGAGAACAGGAATTGTACAAGCACTTGAAAAAACAGGCACATGAGACACAAAAGCTGTTAACACTGTTTCGGATCTAAAATGATTGTGATAAATTGTTTAGGTTTCTTGTTTAACTCAGTTATCTAGGAGATAGAAATCGAACATCCTTTAAATTTTTTTCAGGGAGTTATTTTAGAGTTAAATAAAAATTGTGATATTATTAAATTAGTAACCAATAGTTTGATTAAATGTCACAAACAAGGCGTGGCTTGTGTTGGTGATGGACAGCTGTCACCAGATACACTAGTTGATGGTAGATATCCCCATTCAGATGTAAGTTATGTTAGCTATCGAATTATGGCACAGCATTAATTTCTGAATTAATTAATTAGCTTAATTAACGGACATATTTCTCTAGATTTTGGAGCAAATTTTTTTCAACAAAAAAAAAAACATAATGCCCCTTTAACCCAAGTATTTCTTGTCTTTTCAGTATATGACTTGTCATTTAAACTTCTTACAATATGTATTACGAGAGGGGGTGTTGTATTTACCATGGAATAGAGCTAGAGATATCTGGACAACCATGGCTGCCAACAACAGAGCTTGTGAATGGGATAGAGAGGTCAGTAAACTATGTAATATTCTTATTTCAATTCTATGAAGTCAGTACGGTAGAGCTTTTAACCCAGCTGTTATTAGAGTAAGATGGCTACCAAGAGATTTTGGTGAGGACCAGCTGGTAAAAAAGATATTTTGGTATATGAGTTGTATGGTTTCTATCTGCCTACTCTACTCTGCTTTACTTTACTCTGCTCTACATTTTTATTTTCCAGACCTGCTATAAATGGTTTTCTGATCGTTTGACTGACTTGGAAGCAGATTCACAAAATCAGTTATTTCAAAAGGAAATTTTAAGGCTAGATCCTGTTAAACTTAGTGAGAAAGGTGAGTTTTGTGCTTTAAGGAATTATGGATACAAAGGACTATGTAAGAGAATATTATTAGATATTTACAAAATATCACCTTCTAATTCTTCATTGTTAATTTTGAGCATTATTTAGCCTGACAAATCTGTGTCTTTTACAAAAAGTCACATTTTTTGGGAGTTGCCCTGATCCATTTTTGGATATGCTGAATGGAAGTTTGACTGTAGATTTGTTAGATGCTCTTATAATGGCCAGCTATATAATCCAACAAGGTTAGTTGTATAATAAAGTGTTTGTTTATTTCTGTTTCAGGATTTTCATGTTTTAAGAATTATTTTGAAAATGTGAACTTATATGAACATAGATTAAAACGTAATGTGAACACCTCAGTAAGTACCCTGACAGATTTTGTCAAATATAGTTGTATATATTCATGCTTTTCTAGGTGATGATGCTTAATTAATCCATTATCCATAGTACTTTTCAAAATGAATTTTCGAAATAATGTTCTCCTGCAATTCGAGAATACCACAAACTATCCTCACCTATCTTACTATTCTAGCAGCTCAATTGCTCCCAGTCTACTTATCCAATGACAATATAATTTGAAAACTCTGATGTATTTATCTATTTTGTAGATTGTAGAGAAATGTGATTTACTAGGATTAGATTATCTATGGGAAATCTGTTTAAATGTACCAGATGAAAGTATAGCTCATAATGCAATACAACTCTTACTACATATGTCTTATCTGAGCCTTAATCCTAGACTAAAAAAGGTAATCATTTCAAATTCATTGATACACTATGTTATTTGTCACTTTTTTAATATGATTTTTGAATCCTAGTCCTAATTAGGTTAGTACTTAATTATAAGATTATGTAGAACAGTGGGTTAGAGTGTTGGAAACATAACATGACATCGTTTGTTAGGTTAAACAAATGGTGGTCGGGGTTCTAATCTTGGTTGACTTGTGAATAAGCCATCTTTCCATCATCAGATTTTTTCAGCTTCAGATTGCTAACTGTATCCTCTGTGAACAACTTTTTACATGTAACAATCACATTAGTGTGTTGTGTAAAATTAACTTGTTGTTGTTTTTTTGTAGGATCCTGTGTCTTTACATAAAAAATTTATCTCAGAGTGTTACAACAGATTAGAGGTTTGTAGAGTGTATTATTGATAATGAATCTTATTCACTAAGGATTCAATTTGAAAAGTATAAATTTCTCATGTAGAGTGAACACAACTAATTTAAATTATATGTTACCATAATGATGAGCTCTCTTTTGCTGTCATTTTCTTAATTTTTAGATATACCGTAAGGTGCATAAAATTCCTTTTTTCAGAGTTAAGGGCCTCATTTGAAAAATTTTGGAACAAGCCCAGGCACAGACCAATATTCTTGTTATTTCAATTGGTTTTTTTGAAGATTTATTTGGAGTCAAGCAAAGTATTGCATGGAATTAATTCTAAATAAATCACAAATAATTTGTTTATGATTTCAGGCAGCTATGATTGGTATAGGCAGAAATTTAATTGCTCAATCTATCTCATCAGCTACTAAAATGTTAACTGCTCCTGTAGTACCAGAAGTAGCTAATGTACCACTACCATCTAAGTAAGTTTTTCATGTATCGTTTTTGTATTATTTACTTCTAAGCCTTAGAAATAGAAATTTCAGGGAAATATTTATTGTATTTTGCAGATCAGTTATTAATATGTACTATTTATTGTAGATCAGTAAATATTATGAAGCATTTATTGTAGATCAGTTATTAATATGTATTATTTATTGTATATCAGTAAATATTATGTATTATCTATTGTATATCAGTTAATGATATGTATTATTTATTGTATATCAGTTAATGATATGTATTATCTATTGTAGATCAGTTAATATTATGTATTATTTATTGTAGATCAGTTAATGATATGTATTATTTATTGTAGATCAGTTAATATTATGTATTATCTATTGTAGATCAGTTAATATTATATATTATTTATTGTAGATCAGTTAATAATATGTACTATTTATTGTAGATCAGTTAATATTATGTATTATTTATTGTATATCAGTAAATATTATGTATTATTTATTGTAGATCAGTAAATATTATGTATTATTTATTGTATATCAGTTAATGTTATGTGTTAGCTATTGTATATCAGTTAATATTATGTCTATTGTAGGTCAGTTAATTTATTAGCTATAGAAAGGTTATTATGGTTAGCTGAATCCTATGTGTTATCAGTAGAAGAGACACATAGTTCACCACGTACTATTTTACCTCATGGGGCATCTTTTCATGGTTATCAGATATCTATTAATTGTGAATCACAGAGACAGAATTTCACATTATCAGTAAGTATATTGTACTGTTTATTAGTGTTCAACGAAGAAGATTAAATGGAGATACCTCTTAAATTAGTCCATTTGTGTGTTAATAACAATTTAAAACACAATGAAGATTTATGACAATGAGTCCGTATCCTCATTATAAATAAATGAAGGAAGTTTTGGTCCTTAAAAAAGTTCTTATTCAATGAACAGAGTGAAAAATAATGCAAATTATTTATTTCAGTGTCACAGCAACGAGACATTGAGATCATTACGTCAGAAAGTATCAGATGAACTCAATCAAAGTACAGATCATATACAGATTGTAGCTAAAGACAAGCTGGTAAGACGGTAATTTGGCCTCACTCTTGAAAACACTCAATTGTCAAGTCATTCAAATGGGACAATAAACTGATGTCCATTGTGATGCACAATATGCACGTTAAAAATCGTTAGCAGTATCACATACTGAACAGTTAGGTTGACAGAAATACTAGAGTAGGGGTAGACTCAAAGGTCTTGAGTTTCTTGAAATCATTATGAGGGTTTTAAAGGTTTATTTTATTTATTAAACTGTTCAGATTAATAGCAGTGAAGATGAGAAGTTATTGTATCAGTTAGATTTTGGAGATTGTGAAGATCTTCAGATTAGAGTTGGTGCTACTGGTACATCTACTGTATCATCTGGTACTTCCAGTTCACAATCATTACAATCAAAAGAGGTCAGTAAAGCACCGTGGAGACTTTAGTACAGATTTTATTCCATTCAATGTAGAGATGGGGTGCAAACTATATCTGCAATTTCACTGTAGATTAGATTGTAGTTTACAGACTTTCTGTCAAGGGCCTGATTGGGTGTATTTGCTAGCCTACAATTCAATCAAATGGCTGCATTTACAAACTTCTGTGATACAAAAAAGGCAGCTATTGGAATCAAAGGTATAAGCTGAAGATCGTAATATCTTTACATGGTAAAGATCTGCTCTCAAAGAACTAAAATACAAAACTTAGTGTTGAATTATTATGAATATCAATATCATTGAAATACAATGCAGCAATTTATGACTAGGATATAAGGTTTTAAGGATAAATTTTTTTTTTTTTTTCTTTCAATGCCAATCAGGAAACCAGTAAATCTAGTCAGGTAAAATACATCTTTATAACATTGATGTTTAACTTCATATACCAGTAAAATAAACTGAAGGGGAGGATATATTTGTAGTAAATGGGAATTTGGTTCAAAAAGTATACAGTTGTCTAAATCTTTACTTTACCAGCTCATAAAACTTTTAGCTTTAATATCTTTTTGTGTTTTCCTATAATCCAAGCTTCCGAAGTGGAAATTTTATAATGCCTTAAAGACATGACGCCATAATATCAGTTTCAAAATACACCAGTAAAGCCAAGTCTCTACCAATATCCGCCTACCTTTTTAACGATTAGAGTTTTTATATGTTACTTTAATTTATGAAATTAGATTAAAATTAACCAATGTTTATTGTTTAAAAAAAATAATAATCTTTAAATTTAATTTAAATGTCATGCAAATAAAAAAAATGCAGCTTAAGTGCAGTGAGACTTAAATACTTATTAAAGCTTTTATTACTTATGCTATTATTCAGACCATCTTATCAGGCTTTTCTGCTTATAATATTGTTTAGTGTGTTGCTAACCTCTATTAGCAATAAATTTGTGGTGATTAAAAATATTAACATATAGGTTATTACTATAAGAGGTAGACTAATATTGTATCCATTACAATTTAAAATACTTGAATATAAAGTTGGCTTCTCATGTTTATGTTTCAAATCGTCCCAGTTGTGTACAAATATCTTTATATATGGCTATAGCTTGTAACTAAAGTTTTTTGAAATTTGAATTCCAGGTCACAGCTCAACCAGCTTCAAAACAGATATTTGACCTTGAACAGGTAAGGTTTCAATGGTTCAGAATAGAATAACAAATCAGAATTCCACTTTGTTCATAAGATGTGAACAAATTTTATATTTGGTGCATTCTGAAGACTTCTGGAGATATATAAGGGCTTCTTGAGATATGCCTTGAAATGTGAATATTAGTAAAGACACTAATAAACGACTTATTGTTATTTTACAGGAGAAAATGTTGCCTGGTGTTGTCATGGCAATTGGTGGTCAAGTATTTGATATGTTATACAGATTAACAGAATTAGACGAGTCAAAGTAAGATATGGACTTGATATACACTCTTCCTGACATTTCAAACAGATCTTGATGATTTATTTACATATTTTATCCGAAGGTTATTTTCCCTCAGATTGTTCCAAAATATCTATTCATATACTTTGAAAGTAAAAAAAATCTGTTCAGAATATTTATAATATGAACTTATTTGGGTTTTTTTGTTCTTGAAGAATAACTAAAAGAGTACAGAATTTATTAATGTTAATACCAACAGATCCTGCTGTTTCTGAAGCTTTAGATTCTCTTGGACAAAAGGTAAGAATTAACAGAAAGATTTAAATCAGATCAGTCTCCCAAATCCTATATATTAGCAGTTCATAGTTTATAGAGGCAATTAACTCAAAGATTGTCTTAATATTTGAATGTCCAATATTATATTTGACTCCACTAGAAATGCTTATATTTGTTAATATGGTGTGTATTTGTTTGTCAGATTGTATTTGCCTATCAATAATCTAAAATTTGATTTTGTTCAGGACATGAAAACTTCATTGTCTAGTGATGATGTTTCGAGTATGAAGTCCAGTCCAAAGAAGAACACAGTGAGCCCTGCCAGTCCAAGATTGAGTCCTAGAGATACCCTGAAATCATTATTTGATTGTAATGCTCCAGACATGTCAGCTTTTAGAGTTCTATATAATCTAGAGGTAAGATCTCATATCTTATCAAAACTATGAATGAAAGATATTGTCTTAAAACAAAAATATTTACATATCTAAGCGTTGCGTACAATTGGGCTTTAATAACCACATGGATTCAGACCACAAAAGTTTTTTTCTGGAAATTTTTGTATTTGAAATCAATTATTTTCTGTTGTTATATATATATGTATAGAGTGGCTAACTAAATTGTTTCTTTTTCAGGTATTAAGTAGTAAATTAATGCCAACCACTGAGGATGCTGGTTCCAGAGTTAGTGCCAAGAGTTTCTGTGAAGACTTTCTGCTAGCTGAAGGGTTAACACTAGTGGTTAATGTACTACAACCAGAATCATTACCCACTGATATTAACTATCAAATAAGACAAGGTTGTTATTCTATATGTCTACAGATGGCCAGGTAGGGCATTTCAAAACTGTTTCTTTTCTTCCTATAATTTCGGGTGGCTTGTTTCAAGTTTGTATTATGAGTAAGTTCATTGTCATTGGCATCATCTGATTGGCCAGTCGCTAAACTTAATTTTAAATTTAGTGTTACTATCCCATCAGATTGCAATATATTTTGTAATATGAAAATGTAGCATTATCTGTCTTAGGCACAGAACAGCTTCAAGTTTGACAACATCAAAGACTTTTGTCGAATATAATATTGTCCTGTCTCTTCTAGATATTTACTGTGTGGTCAAACTGTAACAGGAGATAATGTTAATCAACCAGAAAGTGATGATGAAACTGGTGCAGCATCATTAGTAACTACAGCCTCCCCAGCTCATGGTCCTCAACTGTCTAATAAACTTCAATCTGCTGGTTCACATGCTATACAGGTATAGTTCAATTCACAAGTAATTTAGACTGCCAAGACTCATAAGGCTGTTATAAATCAAGATTTGAAAGCAAACAGCAAGTTATATCAAGGCAAATCAAAGGGAAAAAACTCAACAGCTCTGAGATTTCTTTATTACAGATTATAATTAGATTTCACGGAGCATGGTCACTGATCCCCAAATGATAAAATATTATAGTGTTTCTTATTAAAGCTATTCAAAATAGATAACAGAGGTTTGATTTCTGTCTGACGTCTGATGTTTTTGTCATCCCAGACACACTTCACCATATTATCAACCAATCTATTTGCCTGAATTTAACAAATAGATGTATCCCTGATGATGACTGTTGAAATAATTTGTATTTTGTAGACATTAGGAGAGAAAGATTTCACTAAGACTGTATCATGTTTTATGAGGGTGACATGGGCTGCCGCGGCAGGCAGATTACATCTACTCAGTTCCTCACAACCAATCAGAGAGAGTAGAGATACATTTAATTGTGGTCGCAGAAGTCGACAAAGTAGTTCAGGTAAGAAAACACCATCTAATTCTAACTGGAACCAAGGTCAAGGCCATATGTATGTCTACTCACACAACTTTGAGGTTTTGCCTGTGGCTAATAGCACTGCAATATCATGCTATTTAATACTTGTACATTTGATTATTTAAAAGTTTATCTGTATTACAGGAAGTACAGCTAGTACCAACAGTGACAGTGATTGTCAAAGTTTACATGCTGGTGTTTGTTCACATCAAATATCAATACCAACTAAAGATGTACATATTGCACAAGAAGCTTTAGAAATTTTAACTGCTTGTTTGAAGCTACGCAGAGAGTTGATGGGTAAGCATCATTTTTTTTTAATAAGATATGTAACATTTGATAACATTTACTCTATACAGCTAATGAGGTGATCCTGGTGCATTTACTGCTTTTAAATAAACACCTGAACACCCTCTGTCTCATTGTAAGTAACTAATATATTTTGATTACGTGCCAGTATCAGATGGCACAGATGGTACTGTCTGTGACCACTTGATGCCACTCTGCTATAGAGTCAACTTGACATGAGTCTGTATACTTAATTGATTCGTATTGTGCTCTTATACACCTACCATTCCATATAAAGCATGGCTACATGACACATAAAATGTTCCATATAAAATATTTTCTTCTTTCGTATTTCAGCCTCTTTTTATTCCTTACCATGTGTCAGTGATTTTGTGATAGATATTCTAGTTGGTTGTCCACAGATTTTGATTCGTCAGGCAGCATTAAAAAGTTTACATGAACTCAGTCAAATAGAGATTCACTTACCTCGAGATAACTCCTTACAATCACCACATCAATTTGTCTTACAGTTATTATTACGGGCTTACCTCCCCTTTTGGGTGACCTCTTCACAAACTAGAGGTTCTAGTCAGAAGTAAGTAGATTTTACATGTTTTAACACTTGCTCATTTTCATTGAATAAGATGCAGTGGCGGCTCAGTAAGTTAGCAGTTGTTGCTCTGCTAGTGGAACAAGAAAAAAAGTGTAGAGAAATTCAGATTTTGGGCTAATGAAGACATGCAATACCATGCAGTGTACAATGAGGGAAATTTGTTATTTCCAACTGTCAAGGGAATTTTAACATACACAGCCTGTAGCACACAGGTATTTTGTTTAATTTCCTATCGGAAAGACTTAATCTTTTTCCGTGTCAGGCCCCCAACCAGCATCAGCGACATTCACATGGGACAACAAACCAAGGCCCTTTGTATTACAGGCCTCTTCACCAAATCACCATTTGCTTTGATATTTCAGGTTACTCAATCAATGTACTCAGTATTTTGAATTACGTTGTTTACTTCTGGAAAATCTATTAGGTATGTTGTATATAGTATATTATTAAAATTTTGTATATATGTGTTTATAGAATACAAATACATAAATTACAAATGAAATGGTTAATGTAATTGTGATTGAAGCAGATGCTAGATTTTTATTTTGGAAAGTGTTCCTGGTTGGTAAAAATCATTGACCCATCCTATTTCAGTATATAATCAGAAGAAGTTACAGATAGATGTGGTGTCTATGTTAGAAGATGAATTAGGATGGTTAAGTAACTTCGTGCCCTCTCGACATGTAGAATTAAACAAAACAGATAATACTTTACTAGCTGGTCATCTTAAACTAATTAAAACATTATTTACTTGTGAAGGTGTGGATAAGATAGAGAATGGTAAGATTAAAGTACTATATGGGTTATTGCTTTTAATGAAATATGAAATATTTATATGAGTGTCTGTACCAGATCATTGAATTTGGCACTTTGCTATAAGTGGATAACCAGGTTGTCAGTTTACAGATAATGCATTTTAGGGGGGTTTCAATGTATAATCATATCAGAGTAAGTTTAAATGGTTCATCATTCAAGTCTTAATTTGTTTTAAGGTACAGATGTAGTGAGAGACTTGTTACATGAATTTCTGTTTCCTGCCTCTAAGTTAATGCTAGATAGCTTGAATGAATCTACTACTGATTATAACTTAGCTGAATTCAACCCAAAGTAAGTTATTATTTCTAACTTTACTAAATGTAAAGTACACTCAAATAATCTCTTAATCTCTTGCCAAAACTTCTATTAGATATGTAATCTAGGATTTGCTCTTTTGCAATGATTCTTCCTCTTCGATCAAATTCTGATCTTCAAATGATGTTCAGCGTGGCTGACAAACGATAACTTTCTGATATTTAAGCATTCCTTGCTAATTTGAATTCGAAAAACACTCTGTCATTGTTACTGCTAAAATTTTCCTCATCGCACACATGAATTTGATATATCATGACATTGTTATTTAGATGTTCTAATGCTGAATCAAGAGTAGCAGCTTATGAATTATTAACAGAATTAGCTGATGGTTGCTTAGTTAATCTTCAGTTAATCTGTAAAGAATTAATACAGATGCACCATCAACCCAATAATATTGGTGCCAATGAATGGGATGTAAGTTTATGTATTATTTGCTTCTTAACTCAAATAATTTGTATATTTCAGTATATGACTGTTGATTTGTAAATTTCAATATATGACTGTTGATTTGTATATTTCAGTATATGACTGTTGATTTGTAAATTTCAGTATATGACTGTTGATTTGTAAATTTCAGTATATGACTGTTGATTTGTAAATTTCAGTATATGACTGTTGATTTGTAAATTTCAGTATATGACTGTTGATTTGTAAATTTCAGTATATGACTGTTGATTTGTAAATTTCAGTATATGACTGTTGATTTGTAAATTTCAGTATATGAATGTTGATTTGTAAATTTCAGTATATGACTGTTGATTTGTAAATTTCAGTATATGACTGTCGATTTGTATATTTCGGAACATGACTGTCAATTTGTATATTCGGTATATGACTACTACATTTGTATATTTCAGTATATGACTGTCGATTTGAATTTTTCAGTATATGACTGTCAATTTGTATATTTCAGTATATGACTATTAAATTTGTATATTTCAGTATATGACTATTAAATTAGTATATTTCACTATATGACTCTTAAATTTGTATATTTCAGTATTAAATTTGTATATTTCAGTATTAAATTTGTATATTTCAGTATATGACTATTAAATTTGTATATTTCAGTATATGCCACCAGTAGATGGACGAGCTAGTTGTGGGTATGTGGGATTAAAGAATGCTGGTGCTACATGTTATATGAACTCTGTTATACAACAGTTATATATGACACCAGGTGTACCAGAAGCTGTACTAGCTATAGATCAAGATGATGCTGATGAGGAAACGTGAGTATTATATTCATGTACTGTACTCAATCAGGGAAATAGCATAGGACTTAGTTTTTGGAAAAGTGAAAGAGAAAATTACTTTCACTTAAGGCGCTAACACAGGTCAGGTTATGTGTAACTTGGTAGTGGATCCCTTTCTCTATTAGCTGAAAATTTTATTATAAAAGTCTCTCTTCATTGACGAGGGATGTATTATCCTTTTATCCCATGTTATTAATGCAGTCATTTGAGGATGGGAAAAACCAAGGTCCTGTGTGCAGCACGCTCTACATCTAAGGGTAGGTAAATGCTGCTGCTTGGTCAAAATTTTCTCTTAGCAATCTAAATAATTAATAAATTTTTATTTTTATTTGTAAAACTGAATTTCACTGTTTCAGTGTGTTCTATCAAATGCAACAAGTTTTTGGCCATCTTATGGAGAGTCGCTTACAACATCATGAACCTGAGAAATTCTGGCAAGTCTTTAAACTGTGGGGCCAAACTATCAACGTCAGGGAACAACAAGATGCTTTTGATTTCTTCCAAGCTTTGATTGACCAAGTTGATGAACATATGAAGGTAAGTTTGATTAGTTATCCTGTTTTCATTTTGGTCTAAGTGGTAGGTTAATTGATTGTTTTTGAAAGCAGGGTAGAGCATTTCGAAAGAGGATAATTTAATGCATGGCAGACAAAAGGGAACGACTTGTAAAAGTATTCTTTGGATAGGTAGATGGTTGAGATCATGTGTGCTACAGTATGAAAAAGTCTTTGAAAGGTCCTTTGACAATTCCAAATTGAAAGATAGTGTCTAAATTGACACAACTGGAAAAACCGGTTAAATCATCACCCATCATCAGAAACTTCTATCAGTTTGAGAAAACTCAAAACAAATGTTGCCTTGTCATTGGTGCCTTTCACAGTACAGACATAATGTTTTGTTTGTATTTTGTAGAAAATAGGCAGAGATGAAATATTTAAACAGAAATTTCAGGGGATATTTTCAGACCAAAAAATCTGTAAAGATTGTCCACATAGGTAAGTCTTTCTCGCAATTTATTATTTTGTGAGTTAAACGCCTTTTATATATTTAGTTTGTAAAGAATATAAAAGGTTGTAGGTTGTATGTGTGGTCTGAAGCATCTTGGAAGACGTGTGGGAGTAACTTACCCTTGTTTTCCTGGCATACTGTATTCAAATATGTGTATTGTGGAAACTTTTATCCAGCCACAAACAGGTTTCCTGACCGACATCATCCTTTTCAGCCTTTCAGAGAGACATACTGTAGTTGATATATTTTTCATTATAATTTCATTACAGATATGAAAGAGAAGAAGCTTTCATTGCATTGAATTTAACAGTAAAAAATGCTACCTTACAAGATTCTCTAGATCAGTTTGTGAAAGGAGAGTTGTTAGAGGGAGATAATGCTTATTTCTGTGAGAAATGTGGTGAAAAGGTATATATTGTTTTTCCTATGTTTTTATTTAAAGGGATATCGTCTAAATATTCGCTTTAGATATGAGCTGTCTGTGTCACTTCAAAATTTGATGTTTGCGGTGACAGAAGTAGTAGTAGTCTCAAAAGTATTCAAAACATTATCGATTCTTATTAATCACAGTTATTACCCTAGTTTGATAACTCTACAAATCTCGCCCTACCTGGTCCTCTCTCCATATATCACTTCAGAGGAAAGGGGAGGGACAGATTTGTTTGGCTTTTCCCCAATAATGTCAGGTACCTACAAGAGAAAGTTGGTCTAATGGGGAAATATTTTATTTATTTTTTCAGAGAAACACCATTAAAAGAATGTGTATCAAAACTCTACCATCTATGTTATGTATACAATTAAAAAGATTTGGATATGATTGGGAAGCCAACAGAGCCTTGAAATTTGATGACTATTTTAGGGTATGTCATATTAAATGGTCTATAATTTCACTCTTTTCGTGTATTTTGCTAACATAAGATAAAATTTCCCTCTTTGTACACTGCTCATCTTCACTGAATCCGGTTGGTGGCTGAGTTTTTCAGGATTGCTTGGATTCAGAGATAAAACACACTCAATGAAATTATGACCTCCATATTTATTCAGGCTCACCGTGTTTCTCCTCAAAATATAGACCACAGTTTTACTATATGAGTGATCATGATATTACAATATGACATTAGCACAGTCAAGAGCAGAAAAGTTGGGCATAAAAGTTCAATTCAATACATCTCATTTTAGTTTCCATGGATACTAGATATGGAGCCATATACAGCAGAAGGTATGGCCAGACAAGAGAATGAAGACAATACAGAAGATACATGTAGTGAGAGTGGTGAAAAGATTAATGGTGACCACTCAGTTACCAGTGGAGATACTATGGAACTCTCACTTAGTCTAGATAGTCAACCTAAACAAATCAACTTTGAACTAGTGGGTATTGTGGTCCACAGTGGTCAAGCTAATGCTGGTCATTATTATTCATTTATAAAGGATCGAAGGTAAGTTGGCAATTGACCCAAGGCATGCTAGTATCATTAATTCAAAACAAATAGTTCTAGTTTGAATAAAAATGAATTTGGAAATGATCAATGTAAGTATTGGTGGTTAACTTCAAAATATGGTATAATTTTTATCAATATTTTCAGAGGTACGGTACTAACAAATCCAAATAAAGGCAAATGGTTTAAATATAATGATACTATCGTAGAAGAAGTGATGATGGATGAAACTACGGTAGAACAAGAATGTTTTGGTGGAACCTATAAACCTAAAGTCATTGACCAAGGTCAGATTTTCTAAACATTTTGTTCTTGTGTCTGTGATTTAGTATCCCATCCCTTAGTATGGAAATATATTTAAGATGAGAGCAGGCTCATTACGGAATGAACACTTGCACAAAACACAAAATTTGATGTTTTTATCCATCCAATGCACCTCAGTTTCAGCTGACCCTATCATAATTAAAACGAGACGTAGTGTTTGCCTGTAGACAAATAAAAAAGAAAACGTCCATGCAAAGACTTATCACTTTTTAGCATTTGCCTCATTTTTACATTCTGATACTGTCTTTTATTTTGAGGTGGCCCCCCCCCCCCCCCCCAAAAAAAAAATATTGTTTTTGTCTTGATTCCTACCTAGATGTGGACAAATATTCATTTTTAATCTGAATACATTGTCTTACAGGTAGTAACTATCCAGAAGAACGATTACGATATTGGAATGGTTATATGTTATTTTATGAAAAAATGGATGAATTGAAGACACCAGGATCAGCTAAAAGAAGTAGAATAATATCACGAAGAGTTCTACCAGAGGGAGGGTAGGTTATGTAAACTATTGTGGTTCTGCTGTTGATAGTTTATGTAAACTATCGTGGTTCTACTGTTGATAATTTATGTAAACTGTCGTGGTTCTGCTGTTGATAAGTTATATAAACTATCATGGTTCTGCTGTTGATAATTTATGTAAACTATCGTGGTTCTGCTGTTGATAAGTTATGTAAACTATCGTGGTTCTACTGTTGATAATTTATATAAACTATCGTGGTTCTGCTGTTGATAAGTTATGTAAACTATCGTGGTTCTACTGTTGATAATTTATATAAACTATCGTGGTTCTGCTGTTGATAAGTTATGTAAACTATCGTGGTTCTGCTGTTGATAAGTTATGTAAACTATCGTGGTTTCGCTGTTGATAAGTTATGTAACTATCGGGTTCTGCTGTGA